CTCAACCCTGCTCTCTTATTGGTTCACTAGGTGTGATTGACAGTAGTGGGAGCCAATGGCTGTGTCTCAGCCAATGAGGAAAGAGAGACCCAGGACAGATGAGGCTCCTGTGCACATCACTCAGGTGAGTATTAGGGAGCTTTGGGAGGAGATGCATAATGAAGGGTTTTTTTTACCTTCATGCATAGAATGCATGAAGGTAAAAATCTTCAGCCTTTACAACCACTTATATAGGAATAATGCAGCTGTACATTAAAATATAAATCATGGCAGCATAGTGGCATAATCAGCACACCTACCTTGCAGTAGTGGGGTCCTCAATTTGAGTCAGAACACTATTTGCATGGAGTGTACATGTTCTCCCTATGCTTGTGTGGGTTTCCTAGGAGTATCATGGATTCCATCCACACTCCAAAGACGTACTGGTAGTGGTCTCCTGTCTAAATTTGCACTAGTGTGTGTATGTGATAGGGACCATCATTTTTGTTGCCTGTCTATGGAATTGTGATATCTTTTAATAAGTGATATGTGCAGAACTGGACACAAAATTCTAAATTGGGGTCTAACTAAAGATCTACAGGGGTTTGACAAAAAAAGCTATGTGCCTCATCACACAGCCGAAGTGCTTCCGCTGTGTGATGAGACACGTAGCTGAGAGGTGGGAAGCCTTACTTTCGTCATTCACTGTGTGTGCTGCTAGTAATACTGAGTCATGTCAGAGCTTGTTTAAAATTGGTGCCTGCTTAGCTGGTGCCTCTGTGACTGAAGTTGCCAATTGATTTTCTGTGTCGCAAGGTACAGTATCAAAGGTTATGACAGCATAAACAGTTCCCAAGAAAACGTAGTCTGAAAAGCATAAGCATGGTCAACTGACCAAAAGAGACAAAAAAGGACATTGTACAGGACTGTAACCCAGAATAGGAAAATAACTACTGCACAATTTGCCCTCTTTGAAGCTCAGTAACCTCTGACATGACTCTATTACTAGCAGCACACACAGTGAATGATGACAGTGAGGCTTCCTACCTGTTAGCTAGGCGTCTCATCACACAGTGGAAGCAAAAGAATGTTACATCACTTCCGCTTTCAACACGAAACATGTAGTCACTTTAACACCTGCAAATCATGTAGTGTTTCCATTTAATGTCTAATACTTGTATATAGATTCACCTCAGTCTCAATCCATGCAGATTTACCCAAGTGAAGGCCCAATGACTTTATGAAAGTGAGGACTCACATTTTACAGCAAAAATAATTATTTCTACAGCGTCAGTGTACAGAACTTGTAGACCATTTTTCTTTCTTTATTACTTAAATGTACAAAACAGCAAACCATAAACTGCATTCTTTTAACATAACCTTTATTTCCAATAGTGTTCCACAGTTATAAGTTCAAAGCAAAACAGCCCTCATATCACTTAGATTGTATAGAAATCCCTCAACACATGTCCTGGCTGATGTACAGCACAGTACAATAAAAATGTAACTCTTTATATAGCTGTCACTGTGATATATCCTATACTAACCCAATATGTATGGTTTGATTTTGTAGGTATCAGTGCAACCATAGTTTGTAAAAATAGGTCTATTCAATATATGCAAAACTATAAAGGCCTGCCAACGCCAGGGTAGCCAAAATATATTTCATAAACAAAGAACAGGATACTGGCGAATAGAAAAGGCACAGTTCTTGTAAACACAGATGAACTAATTTAAAGCTGAAACAACAATTTTTGCACATTACACTAAAAAAGTGAACGCTAATGAAGTGTGGGCAATGTGTGAACGCTGCTGTGTTATGCAATACTGCTTCATTTCTCCATACAGTGCAGTCAGTGCCAAAAGTCCAACGCTGAACTGAAACTTACAGTTCTAGCTGGAGTACACAAATCATAGTGGATCACTCATTCTTCAACTCATCCATTCTTTTCAATGAATGCAAGGCACTCTGTGATTGAAAGAGGGTAGATGGTGAGATACTTCCTTAAATTACAGAATGTGATGCATTAATTGAAAAGTATGCAAGATGTTTTCAGAAAGATAAGCTGCAGAGTGAGTGACTCACTGTAATCAGTTTACTCCAACCAGAACTGTAAATTTTAGCACCAGATGTTTGGCACTGACTGCACTGCATGGGGGAATGAAAGAGTATTACATAATGCAGCAGTGCCCACACACTGCACACACTTCATTACTGTTCATTTATTTTTACAGTGCAAATGGGCAAACATTTTTTAGGCTGGAACTCGGCTTTAAGGAAAGTCGGGATATGATGTAACCCACGCACACCGAGCAACTGGAAGCTATCATTAGTCTGTACTGCCTAAACTGCTGCTGGTTGTTGTGGATTACCTTACGTTATTGCTCTTTGCATTGATATTAAATAAACCCAAAACGATTTACTGTTCGGCTAATTCTTAATATTTCAGTGACACAGCCCTCGCAACACCAATACATTAATGTGACCAAGCATTTGCATATGCACAGGAAAAATTTCACCTCAAATATAGTAATTTGTACAATGTTAGGTACCCCATAAGTGCTCATTCACACATCCTGTCTGCTTGGAAATTGTGCAAAGATTGCTGCTTTTATTTTATTACTTACATTAAACATTTCATTACAGCTATAGGAGCGTTGCCCCTACTAAGAACTGGAGAAAAGAACTGAGAAAAATATAAGAAACTGACAAAAGGAACAAAAGGTTTGGAGAAGTATTTCTGAAGTCCTTGGTGCAGGTAAGGGGACAGTGGAAGCCATGTCACACAGCTGTGTGCTTGAATCACAATTTGTTCTTCCCAAGCAGTTATTAAGTGACAGACTGTACACCGACCTAAAAAAAAAAAAAAAGTAAACAAGTCAAAATAGCTAAATCATACAACAACAGTTACTATCAGGTCAATTGTGAAAGCATTCTATAAATTACGCAACAGCAGCAGAGGTATTAGGCACTAATCAGCTGTGAGTCTGATTGAAGAGCCTATCTGTTTGCAATTTTTTTTTTTCAATTTTAGTTCTGCTTTAAGCATACTGTTATTTCTATAGAATCTAAAGCCATTTTAGACAACTGTATGCTTACAACCTTGTGACAGGAGTGTGGAAAAGGCCCTTTTTTTCAGCATGACTATGATCCTGTGCACAAAGCCAGCTCTAGGAAGACATGGCTTGACGAGTTTGATGTGGAGAACTTGAATGGCCTGCACAAAGCCCTGACCTAAACCCAACTAAAAACCTTTAGAATGATTGTTACTTTGGGCCCCTCATCCAACATAAGTACATGACCTCACAAATGCCCCTTTGGCTGAATGGGCACAATTTACCATCACCACACTCCAAATTCTTTTGGAAAGCCTTCCCAGAAATGTGGCTGTGAAAGCCACAAGGGGGGCAACTCCATATTAATATGCAGAGATTTAGAATAGGGTATCCAACAAACTAAGATAGGTGTGATGGTCAGGTCTCTGCAAACTTTCATGTAGTGTACTTTTCTCTTACTACCTCCCTCCTACCCTTTTCTGTATTGTGCAGCATATTGTGTATAATAGATGTTTATTTACATTTTTTATGAGAGCCCCAAAATTCCCATCATTTCATAAAATATGTTTTGCAACATGTATTGTACTCTGAGGCTACACAATATTCTGCTGTATGTAATAAATGGAGTTTTTGAGAGATTAAAAGATAATGTAATTTGTTTTTAAAAGGTTACCTGTATGAGACATATTATAGGTGTGCCGCACACACACCCAGAGAGAGATGGACACAAAAGAAAAGCCATGCCCTCTCCTCTTCCACAATTGGGACAGTATCTCTCTGTCCCTACTGCAATGGCTGTGTGTGCAGTGCTCTGAACAGCGCAGAGAAAACACAATTATAGTGACACGGACAACTGAAAACGGAAGCTCAGAGGAATTAATTTTGTTGTGTAATTATATGTTTAATTTAGGGAAAAAATTGTCCACTCTAACTTCCATACTTCTTGCCATTATCCATTGATTAACTAAAAATAATTGTCACATTACAACTATTTTATGATAAATATTAGTAGCACAAGCAGCGATGAGTGTAAATTATTATTATACAGGATTTATATAGCGCCAACAGTTTATTCAGCGCTTTACAATATAGCGGGAGACAATACAGCAACAATACAGTTCAATACAAGAGGGATAGGAGGGCCCTGCTCCTTGGAGCTTACAATCTAAGAGGGAGGGGCTAGTGGTACAAAAGGTAATAACTGTGGGGGATGGTCTGGTAGGAGGAATAGAAGATTCCATTATCAGGTGAAGGCAGGATAGGCTTCCCTGAAGAGATAAGATTTTCAGAGATGGCCTAAAAGTGAACAGAGTAAGCGATAGTCTAATAAATTGGGATAGAGAGTTCCAGTTCTCATCAGTCTTGTCTGGTTTTGTCTATCCTATTCTGTGTGCACATAAATGGACTTTCAATTTCAGGGCTGTAGACAGATTATACAAATATGTAATGTGTATGGTGACCCTTATGCCAGGTACACACTATGAGGTTGATTTACCAAAATTGGAGAGTGCAAAATTTGGTGATAGCCTATCAGCTTCTAACTTCAGCTTGTTCAATTAACCTTGAATAAGAAAACCTGGAAGCTGATTGGTTTCTATGCAAAGCTGCACCAGGTTTTGTACGCTCCAGGTTTAGTAAATCAATCCCTATAAGTTTTTTTTTTTTCAACAGATCGCTGTGCTAACACTGTGCTAAGTGATGTTAGTACAGCGATCAGCGATCCCCCGCTATACTATTGTGCCCCAACCCCCCGCCAGAACACACAGGTCAGTGCTCACAGCAATCAGATTCTGATCAGATGCTGGTTTTCTAGCATACCCGTTCAACAAAGCCTACAGTACCGGTTGATTTCAGCAGATATTCTGCCTGTGTGTACCTAGCTTATCTTTGCATTTTACAAGCATAATTTGTTTGCATGATTGGCATTTCAGATTGTACAGTTTTTACATGTACTTACTTTTGATCTAACTTCTGCATGTCTTTGAGGCACTAGGTGTTGTAGAGGAGCTCTGACTGGTAGGCTAGAAAAAAAAAAAAGCATATGATTTTTTAACAAGAGATCATTAGCATTTATCCAAACACAAAGCAAACTGAGCTAAGAAGTTATAAGGAAGAATCAGAAATCACTTATTTCTGTGGAGAGATACAGTTGCTGCATAGACAAGGGCACACTAAATCAGTAACTTCATTTTATCTGAAATGAAATGCATGAGTGCAAATATTTGGCTTGTGCAGAAGGTAAAATATACAACCATATGGATTGTATGTGATCTCTTTAATAATTAGGCAACACAGAACAGTACTCTACATGTCTAGCATTGTCATACCTTTGAGGCATCTGAGGTCTTCCCAGCGGTCTGTGACACTGGTGTGCTAGGGGTGCATGTTCCAGTCTTGTCCTGGTTAATAAACACCATTATGTTAATATCCTCTTATATAATTATTTAAAAGGCACCCATATCATTATTGTCTGAGAGCTTACTGTGTCGGATCTAAATATGAAATATTTCTTTAGAATGATTTTCCTCCAGTTTGTCCCACTTTGTGAGATTAGGCCTCTTTCACACAGGCAGTTAGATTGCAGATTTTAGCTGCGCTTAGAGGAACCTATTCACTGCAGCTAAATGCAAACAATGCATCTCTATGGCTCCATTCACACACTGCGTTTAGCAACGTTTTCATAACATACAGTTTTATGCGTTTAGGAAAAATAAAATTGACAGCGTCCAAGAGCAATATACCGCAGCTATCTGTACATAAACGCAGTTAATTGAAGTACAACGATAACATAAGTAAACAGTTGCTATAGAAAAGGCAAGAACTTACTACTGCAGCCGCATGTAAACGCAAGTAATCACAAGTCTCAGAACAACCTCCTATGTGAAAGAAGCCTTACACAGACTTGGGCCTCCTTTCTGACACATATGACTTTGGAAAGCAAACATAACATTACTGTGTAGAGAATGTATTTCCTATTTTGGTCCAGTGTGTGTTCAGCCTCCTAAAATATATATGGTGTCTAAAAAAACATTAGCTCTTGCATTCTGTTATAGGCAATCTGTACACAAAGTGGATGGTGTCTATGAGGTAAAGGAAAAGAGGCATTGTGCAAAATGAATGTTAGTGAATAAAGTGAACATATATAAACGCAATTATATATAAAGGAAAATTACACAAAAACAAAAATTGGCTTGGACATGATTTGTTGATTGAAGGGAACACAAATTCACCTAATTTACTAAGCTCAGTGAATATTCAGTCTGCTAAATGAACAGACATTTTCCCTTTAGTAAACAAACTATGTGTAGGCTATCCACAGAAAACAATACACAGCTGGAGACAAAGAAAATGCTTTCTTCATTGGCACAAGTCGGGATTGCAACATGGCTATATCTTATGTTTATTGAAGTTGTTGGAATTGCTTCTTAATTTATTTGCTTTATAATCCATCATATTATTTACTACAAATATATGTTGCGCTCCTAAATACTTCTCAATAAATAATAATTACATTATTACCATTAAATTAATTCAAATTATGATACAAATAACTAATAAAAGTGTATAAATACCAAAAAATATTTAAATAGATAGTTTCCACTAATCAATCTCCTCCAAATAAATATCAAAATAATTCCACATGAAATACTCCTCTAAAAAAAAATATATTTTACTAAGTGCTCATAAATCATCTATTTACTAATACCCTCAATTTCATTTATATTCATAATACCCTCATTTAATATAATAAAAATAGTAAACCAACTAATAACCCTCAACTAAAACTAAAACTTTAGTAAACAAACTATGTGTAGGCTATCCACAGAAAACAATACACAGCTGGAGACAAAGAAAATGCTTTCTTCATTGGCTCAAGTCGGGATTGCAACATAGCTATATCTTATGTTTATTGAAGTTGTTGGAATTGCTTCTTAATTTATTTGCTTTATAATCCATCATATTATTTACAGTATTTCTCATATACATTCTATTGATTTATAACACAAACCTTTTTGGCTTCTGGGGCCTTTCCTGCTGTCTGGGAAACTGGTGTGCTAGAAGCGCTCGTCTCTGTCTTGTCCTAGTTCAGATATCATTGTTAACATACATGTATTTTACTATTGTAAAAGGTTGAATGCTATTCTGTATTTGTATAATAGATTCTGGCTTTTATATTTTCACCCATGTTTCAGCTATAGGTAATGAATACCTTTGAAAAACTCTTTGCTTTGTCAGCCGAGCCGGCATCACAAGAGGAGAAACCACTAGACAGAGCATCAATGGCTGAATCGTCACTCAGGGAAGTCTACAAGGGAAAATAAACAAGCTCATATGGCAGCCTGGAAAATCTCCTCTACAGCTTGAACTATATGATCATTCAAATGTAAAACTGCACAAGGTCACATAGATTCCTTAAAAAATTGCAGAGCATTCATGCAAAGACACACTGGAATATGCAATAATGCAATATATGATGAATTTTGCTGTATTGGCTTGTTGGAGTTAGAGAAATTTGCCACTGGTTAACATATCCTCAGCATTTTTTTTTTTTTTTCTCAGCAAAGTAATGGTTTTTTATATCTTGCACCTAGCAAAAACTTCAGCTTATACCAAAAATCTGAAATATCAGTTTTGGGCTCCTTCTAATGTTGTGTGATACCGTGTTTTTTCAGGATGCTGACCCAGCACAAATCAATGACACAACCCCTTTTTTCAGAAAATGAACCATAGAAGTTATTTCAAGCATTTTCACGTCTGAATTGGAACTTCTAGGACTAACCAGCCATTATACACTTCAGAATTCCAATGTTAAAACGTAATATAGAGCCAACGCTCTGTCATTAATTGGCGTATATTTAGGCTCACATTTCATATTGTATGGATGGAGTGTATAAACTGTACTATATAGTCAAATGTTTGTGGATAGCTAACCATAAAATGTACAGTACATTACTAAAAATATGTGGGCACCCTTCTAAATTCACCATGAAATGACATTTTAGGCAAATTGTGAGCTTCCAACTTTGTGACAACAGTTTGGGGAAGGCCCTTTTCTGTTTCAGGATGACTCCCTATGCATAAAATTCTTTTTTTTTTTTTTTTTTTTAATGTGACATGTTGATTTATAAGTGATTTAACAGTGCTTATTCTACATATGTCCTTAAAATGTGTATTACTATTGTGTGGTTTATTTTTTATGTCAAGTGATCTATTGTGGACATAGAGCTATATACAGTATAGTTGCTGAATTGTACGGATACAACCCCAATTCCATAAAAGATGGGACGTTGTGTGAAATAAAAACAGAAATCAATAATTTGCAAATCTTATAAATCCATATTTTAGTCACAATAGAAAATAAAGAACATGTCAAAAGTTTAAAATGAATAAATGGAAAAAAAAAAAAAAAAATATCGTCATTTTGAAACTGATGGAAGAAACATGTCTCAAAAAAGTTGAGACAGGGCAACAAAAAGCTGGCAAAGTACAACCTCAATTCCAAAAAAGTTGGGACTTGATCATGTTTACCACAGTGTAGCATCCCCTCCTCTTGTTAACAACACTCATATGGAACCGAAGAGAGGAATGTTATCTCATTCTTGCTTGATATAGGAGTCTAACTGTTCAACAGTCCTGAGTTTTCTTTGTGGTACTTTTTGTTTCAAGATGCGCCAAATATTTTCAATTGGTGAAAGGTCTGGCCTACAGCCAGACTAGACTAGTTAAGTACTATGTGGTTTAGCATCGTCCTGCTGAAATGGCAAGGTGTTCCCTGAAAAAGATGTTGTCTGGATGGGAGCATATGCTGCTGTAGAACCTGGATATATCTTTCAGCATTCGTTGTGCCTTTCCAGACATGCAAGCTGCCCATTCAATACACACGAATGCACCTCCATACCATGAGAGATGCAAATTTTTTTTAACTGAACACTGGAAGGTCCTTCTCCTCCCTCTAGTCTGGTGGACGTGGTGTCCATGGTTGCCAAAAATAAAAAATGTAGAATTTTGATTTGTCTGGCCACAGAATAGTTTTCGACTTTGCAACAAACCATGTTAAATGAGCTTTGGCTCAGAGAAGACAACAGCATTTAGGATCAGGTTTAAATATGGTTTCTTCTTTGCATGATAGAGTTTAACTTTCATTTTTGGATGGCACTGTGTTCACAGACCTGATTTTTGGAATTATCCCTGAGCCCATGCAGCGATGTCCATCACAGAATCATGCCTGTTTTCAATGCAGTGCTTTGAGGGTTCAAAGATGACGTGTGTCCAATATTGCGTTTCAGCCTGGTCTCTTGTGAATTTCTCCACATTTTCTGAGTCTTTTGATGATATTATGTACTGCAGATGATGACATATTTAAAGTCTTTGCAGATGTACATTGAAGGACATTATTCTGAAATTGTTTGCCAATTTTTAGACACAGCTTTTCACAGATTGGTGAACTCCTGTCCATCTTTACTTCCAAGATGCTTTTTGTTGCTCTCTGACAACTTTTTTGAGACATGTTGCTTCCATCAATATCAAAATAATTTTTTTTTCTTAAAATTGTACATTCTCTCAATTTAAACAATTGATATATTTTCCATTATTTATTGTGATAAAAATATGGGGTTTTGAGATTTGCAAATCATTGCATTCAGTTTTTATGTAGATTTTACACAGCATCCCAACATTTGTGGTATTGGGGCTGTAGTACTGACTTTTGAATAATGAATGTACTTTTAAGTGCATCTGGTTAGGAATGACCCCAAGAATTTAAATAGTGGAAAAAAAATACAGAATGCATTTTTACCTTTGGCTTCACCTCTTCTGGTTTTGCAGGTTTACCCTGTATTTAGCAAATAAATACAGTTTTAATAACTTGAAACATACACACATAAAAATTACAGAACCTATTGGTCAGCGTACACAATTACCTGATCTTTACCATCCAAGAGGTGTCTATATTCAGGAGGGATTGTGTCATCTCTGTCTCCAAGTCTGTCAATGTGCTCTTTTTTGGCTTTTTCCTGATAAAGAGAAAACAAAATTAAAGAAATGACTTATATGAGCACAACTATAGGGAAAAACCAGGTTGCTACACATAACCTAAAACGCATGACCACTAGGCAGAGTACTACAACAAGAAACCCACATCTACTGTATCAAATCTGTCTGTTTCACTGAAAGAATATATGCATTTAAAGATGCAGGATGATTAACAAAGCATAACGTTTATGTCAATCATTTATTACACATCATGTATCTCTCTTAACTCTCAACACATCCAGAGGAAATATTGATGTGTGAAGCATTTTCTGTTCTCTTACTCCAGCAATGAGGATAAAGATAGGTGAGCTTGGCCAACCTTTAGCACAATTTTTAGGTCTTTTGTTGTCTGATATTTTGGAGTAAATAAAATTAAGTGCTCACTACAGCTTCCTGTATTAGGATCACTGTAGGAAAAAAAAAACAGCTTCATTTCAGAAAATATTCCCCCACAGGATTAAACATTACCTTAGCAATATTTAGCTCTGAAACCTTTTGCTTAGAATAATTTTTTTAATTTAATACATTTTTGTTGAAAAGCATGGCACATATACAATTCCATATACGTTATAACAATTTCAGCATACAAGGTGAATACAGTAATTGTCACAAGCAGTCTGATCCAGAAGTTTTAAACAGGCATGGAAAAATGCAATGAGGATAATCACTAACTACAGGCACAAGGGTCCACTTGGTCATGTGAAATCCAAGGGAATGAAGAACTGGGGGTCTGGTCTGATGCCTAGGTGGCACAGAGAATTGTAAGGTATGGGTATGTCATTCCAGACAGCGAGAAAAACTTGTCAGGGGTTTAGAAATGTATGTTGTTTACTGCTACTTTTTGCTCAAAAAGGAATTATTTTAATCACACAGTATACCAATAATTTTGCTGAAACAATGTCTGTCTTGTAAGGATGGGCTAGTGTTGTGGCTTTCCAGTACTAACCTTTACTAAATCTACTACAGGCTTGTTCTCATTAGGATCTTCTATTCTTGTTCCCAGAGAACCAGAGAGCAGATCTAATGCATCATCAGGTATCTTTATGTCCTAGGAAAACAGAAAATGCATACTGTTAAAGATAACTAATTTTCTATTACATGTCTCCCCAATGTCTCCTCTAACAGACATCTTCTCAATGTTTCCCTTCAAACAGTCTTTGTGTTAGAATTCTGATGTATAGACTTTCATGAGCAGTACACATTACATATGGTATAGCAAGCTTCTTCCATACAGTAGTGCAAAGCCTAATAGTGCAAAACTGCTAAAAAAAAAAAACACACATCAACTAAATTTCACAGTACTGAAGCTAAATAAATTGTATATGCATCAAAATAAAATGGCATTAGGTTGTATCTGTGTGCTATGAATTATCTGTTCTGGTTAAAATTATCCTAAAGCTGGCCATAGATGGGTCACTTTTGTTTATCCAACCAACTACAAGTGGCCCGATTCCACCTTCCACAGATTACAGGTGGATGGGGGAATCCTCCCTGCTGTGTTACTGTGTTCAGACAGTGGGAAGGCAGATTGCGAGAAAAAAATTTAAGCTGAGTGGTTGTACAGAAGTTGATCAGTAGACCCATTTGTGTACAACCACAGACCTCATATATAAATCGAAATTCAGACAGTTCCTGCTGAACCGGACAAATTTTGATCCATCAATGGGCAGTTTACACCGAAGTACCAAAGAGCTGTTTAATAAACATGTGGCCTATCTATGAAGCAAGATACTATTGGATCTAATGGTGTTCCAGTGTGCCATAAAAAGATAGCTAAATAGGAACTCACAGAGTCAGATGGCTTTTTATCTCCAGATTTTGCAGATGAAGGCTTTGGAGCACTGGATTGCACAGATGAAACTTTAGAACAGGATACAATCTCTTCAGACCCAGATTTCTGAGATGGTTTCTAAAAAGAAACATACAGTATGTATGACACACAAAGATTAATATAGCTGTCTTCCTTTAGTTATATCTCTGGCATAAAAAAAATACAAATGTGCATAAAAATATCACATGTTACATATGCCTGTGATTGTTATTTTCAAGTCTTTTCCGGATACCTGGCTCCTAGGTTTGCTAGTAATTTTCTGTTCTTTGTACTGTCAGATTGTGTACTTACATCTCTACCAAGGTGTGCATTTGTGAGAGGACAGAGAGTTCCTGTAGATCGGTAAGCATGGAACATACCTCAGATGATTTTAATGGAGGACACGGAGAAGCAGCAGGAGAGGTGACAAACCCTTCAGTCAAAGCATCCAGCAGATCGTCCTCACTCATCGCCTGCATGTTTACAGAAATAAAATACAGCAAATTAATGGAGAATCACCTTTAAAATGCTTTAGCAAATGGTCAAGAGAGACCTGATGCAGGCTATGTGATGCAAGCTGAAACATGAAACTACAGCACAGAATACACGTGAAACAGAATCCCCGCTGTCCCATGCCAGACAAAAGCTTTTACCTAGCAACACACTGCAAACAAATTCCTTCCCAGAGAAGACCATATGATACACTCAGTATAAAGAGACGACCTGCACACAAATACCCAATGCGAACAAAACGTTTGTCTGTATCATTAAAGAAAAACGTAAAAAATAAATAAAAATTATATATACACATATGCGTATTTCCGCTAGGTACTCTTGATTCCTCCTACACTCCAAAGACATGTTGGTAAGTTAAATGGCTCCTGTATAAATCCTGTGTAAATCAGCCCTAGCATGTATGTGTATGTATGAATATGAGTTTAGTTTGTAAGCTCCTTGGAGGCAAGGACTGATGTGAATTTACAGTATGTAAATGTGCTGTGTAAACTGTTAGCGCTATATAAATGGCTATAATAAATAGACATTTCAAAATATTAATATACCTGAGCCTTTTCTTCAGGTTTTGGCACAAGAGGCTTCCCATCTTTATCCTGCAAACAGAAGTCAGAGTAGAAGCATTAAATGCACTGGTAACACACAATTTAGCAATACACATATCAGCAATAGAGCTTATTTGTTTTTGTTTTTTTATCCCCACTGGAATGCAATAGTTGCTGTGGCAAGAGCCTACCTAAGTAGTACAGCCTAGGATAAAGCAATACTAAACCCAAAAACAAAAATATTGCAGCTTACCAATCCCTAAGAGTGGTGGCTGCTTTAGTTTAAGCCCTTTTTTCTTTTTTTTCACTTATTGACTCAGGCCAGTAATACACTTCCTGTATTGCAGTGTCTCCACTCTGGATGGAGGAGCAACAGAAACATCTTTGGACATCAGCATTCTCAATCTGGGTGGAGGGTAGTGTTAGATGCACTAGCAAGTTTAGATGGGTTTTATGAACAAGTTAAAAGAAAAAGCATGGGTTAACTAAAAAAAAAAGGAAAATGAAACTTACATGAACTGACGCTGCAACTGTCCCCACTGGCTCTGCACTGAGAGTGATCAAAGACTGCTGATTACTCAGTTCAGTATTGCATGAGCAGAGAGCTGGTGACTGTCAGTCACAGGCTCTCTACTCTGCCCCTCCAGCACTCACTGGAGCCCTGGGATGTGAAAGGGTGGGTTTGGTGAGCTCAAACTGAGAGGCTGAGCCAGGTGCTGGTCAAGGCTTCTGGGTGGATCCTGACTATATGGCCAGGATATTTTCAGAACCTAGACTGGCTTTAGCCTGCTGTTGGCTAAAAAACATGTCACAGAAGTGCAGAACAAACTGCACTCCTGTGATCCCCAGGGGAAGTACAGCAAAAAAAAGAGCTTTGACGTTACTTCTCCTTTAAAGCCAAACTCCAGCTAACACTTACAGTAGTTACAGCACCAGTTTTTCTATCTTTTGGGATATAAGTTTTACATAAATTAAAAAGCTGACCATTGTAAGCACCCTTCTCAGTGTTAAATGGCTGCCACTTTATCTGGACAGCTTGGTCTTTTAGAAGAAAACAAAGTGAAAAAAGCCACAAAATGAATGCAGCCACTACATCAAAGGATTGATAAGCTGCAATACGTTACATGTTTGCTTTTGGGTGTAAATACACTTTAAATCTGTCTACCTTAACTTCCTTTAGTCTGTAGTCAGGAGGTATTGTTTCTTCATCTTCTCCAAGTTTATCTCTCTTCTCTTTGCCTGTTTGCTCCTAGTAGAAAAGGAAAAAAAAAAGTATCCTTTTAATAATCAGAAGACAATCAAGAACAAAATATGATTCACAATTACGTTTTGCATAAGATCCTTCTCATTTGAGTTACCAATTTAAAATTTAGTGAAACAATAAAAAAAAAACTGTCAGGTAGGATTTTTAGGACCTAAGAGACCCTATTGGTTACTTCTGTCTTAAACCCTACTCCCTACATTTATGTACACTGCATTGCGTATTATGTTAAAAGTCCCCTTCAAAACATTACACAGCAGGGTTAATTTGGTTATTCTTCATTTTCTTCAACAGGGTTAGAATACAGTCAATATACATTTCTTATATAATTCAAGCAGAATACGTAACAGAAATGACAACACAAGTGTTCATTCCAAAGCATCCTAAAATCATGTGCAGTATAACCATCTCCTTAATTCCAAATTATGTAAGTTACCAACCATGTCTGTTTTTTTTTTGTATAGCATTGGAGGGATGAGGAGGTGTGGGAAGCGTATACTGGGTCACAAGGGAAAGGGATGCAGAGAGGAGGACCCACAGAGTGGGAAGGAGATAGAGGAGGGGGAGAAGAAAAGAAAAGAGAGAGGTAAGTGCTCTTTTCCTGTGGCTGCCACTATGCTCCCCCCATCTCCAGGGGAAGGAGGAACCTCAGGCTTAGGGCCTCGGTGATCCTCAATAAAGTCTTAGCTTAGTCATTGGAAATAAAATGTTTGTATTCTTGGGAGTAGATACAAGTATTTCCAGTTAGAACCGGTTTTTAATTTTCTACCTTTTGTGACTTTATAGAGGTCTTCCAAATGTCAGATCTTGTTAATTTTGGAAAACAATAGTTTGAGAGATGGGGGAGGGTTCTTGTGTAGAATGGTTCCTTCAGCTTCCCCACATCTCCAGCACAGACAGGAGGTCTGTAGAGGACAACTAGTGCCTTGTACCATCTGGTTAAGGAGTTTGTATCCAGCTTCCTGGAACCTACTCGTAATAGAGGAGTGATAGGAACAGTAAATCATGTCATCATTTTTCTCAGGTATGAAGGTGATCTTGGTAGGATTTTTTTTTTTTTTAATTGCAATAAATTATATGGGGTTTTTAAAGAAGATACACATTTGTTTAGTTACAAAAAACATTTTTGCAACAAGTATCAAAAAAGCAGTGAGTAATAACTTGGTGTTATTCAAATATGGTTGTAAAAGTGTAAACATACTTTAATTTTCAAAGCATCATCCCAGAGTTTTCTAAGTGATCCTCCATCATGCTTCAATAATATGTTTTGTAGAGGGAAACCATTAAAGGGTTGTCCATTTTTTTACACTTAAATTAAATCCCTTCAAATATGAACTCTAGGCAGATAAGAAAGCCACAAATGAATGCAGCTCTGTATTTATTAACACAGCATTAAATGTATTATTTTAATGCTAACAGTGTAAGTGCTTGACACGGACTTGGTATCTGCATATTGCAGTATCTGTATGGCAGTGCTTAGACTGGCAAAGGAAGAAGCAGCACAAATAGCATGTCAATTATGCTGAAGTGCTCATGTGCTATAAGGAACATGCTGATAGAAGGAAAGAACAAAGTGATGAGCTCATCAGCATGTTTCTTCTCCTTTTACTGTATAGCCAAAGACCGGGGGAGAAACAAGACATATAAATGCTACTTAACTGCAGCAGAGTAAACTCAAGTATCCTGTAGGCTCAGCTAGACAGGCCTGTGCTGTATGGCAGAGCTATGTAAATCTCAGAACAGAATGAACTGAAATACAAAACCTTTGGCAGGTAGAACATTTCATCTGTTTATTTGTTTGCAGTTGAGCTTTAATAGCAACACAGCAGTCTGCTCAATACTATCGCTACCTAGACCTGTTAGCAACAACAGACTTATATGGGAGGCAAATCTGCCATGTGCCAACATGCAATTACAAAGTGACAGCAAAAACATAAGATCGCTATACAGGTAAAGAATTTTACTAGATATGACTAGAAATATTTTATTTTATACAAACCACATTACCTTCACTGCATCTTTAGCAGGTTTTTTGTCTTTTGGAGCTTCTTGCCTGACTCCTAATGTTCCAGCCAAGGCATCTAGTGGGTCAGCTTTAAAAGTTGGTGCTTTCTACATGAAAGCAATAGAAAAGAAAAAAAAAACTGAAATATTTTGAATGTAAGTGGTGCTTATATAGAGCCAAGACATTTTTGAAGAATGTGCAGTAATATACAATAATGAAGCAGTCCTTGTCTGGAAATAACTGCAAACCACAATTTGTTATAGTTGTCTTTTGTACTTTTGAGCAACTTGTACCTGAAATATTTGTTCTGTATGACAGTAACAATCAGTTACAGTTGCAAGAAAAGGTATGTGAACCCCTTGGGATTACGTGGAGTTTTGCATGAATTGGGCATAAAATGTGCTCTGAACCTCATCTAAGTCACAACAATGGAAGAACACAGTCTGCTGAACATAATACTACACAAACATTAGATGTTGCCATGGTTTAATTGCACATAACATGTAAACATTCACAGTGCAGGGAGGAAAAAGTATGTGAGGCCCTAGCTTAATGACTTCTCCCAGAGCTAACTGGAGCCCGGAGTGAGCCAACCTTGACTCCAATCAGTGTGATGATATTGGATGTGTTGCTGACAGCTGTCCTGCCCTTAAAAAACACACACCTGTTTTGGGTTTACTGGTTTCAAGAAGCACTGTCTGATGTGAACCGTGCCTCATACAGAAAAGAGCTCTCAGAAGACCTACGATCAAGAATTGTTGACTTGCATGAAGCTGAAAAGGGTTACAAAAGTATCTCCAAAAGCCTTGATGTTCATGTGTCCACGGTAAGACAGACTGTCTACAAATAGAGAAAGTTTAGCACTGTTGCTACTCTCCCTAGGCGTGGTCGTCCTGTAAAAATGACTGCAAGAGCACAGCGCAGAATACTGCATGAGGTAAAGAAGAATCCCAAAGTGTCAGCTAAAGACCTACAGAAATCTCTGGCACATGCTAACATTTTGTTGACACATCTACAATAAGAAAAACATTAAACAAGAATGGAGTACATGGGAGGACACCACAGAGGAAGCCATTGCTGTCCAAAAAGAATATTGCAGCACGTTTGAAGTTTGCAAAAGAGCACCTGGATGTTCCACAGCACTACTGGCAAAATATACCGTGGACAGATGAAACCAAGATTGAGTTGTTTGGGAAGAACACACAACAATATGTGTGGAGAAAAAAAGGCACAGCACACCAACATCAAAACCTCATCCCCACTGTAAAACATGGCGGAGGGAGCATCATGGTTTGGGGCTGCTTTGCTGCCTCAGGGCCTGGACGGATTGTTGTCATTGATGGGAAAATGAATTCCAGAGTTTATCAAGACATTTTGCAGGAAAACGTACGACCCTCTGTCCGCCAACTGAAGCTCCGCAGAGGATGGGTGATGCAACAGGACAATGACCCAAAGCATACAAGTAATTCAACAAAACAATGGCTGCAACAGCACAGAATACGCCTTCTGGAGTGGCCCAGTCAGAGTCCTGACCTCAACCCGATTGAAATGCTGTGGCATGACCTTAAGAGAGCGATTCACACCAGACATCCCAAGAATATTGCTACACTGAAACAGTTTTGTGAAGAGGAGTGGTCCAAAATTACTTCAGATCGTTGTGCTGGTCTGATCTGCAACTACAGGAAACGTTTGGTTGAGGTTATTGCTGCCAAAGGAGGGTCAACCAGTTATTAAGTCCAAAGGTTCACATACTTTTTCCTCCCTGCACTGTGAATGTTTACATGTTATGTGCAATTAAACCATGGCAACATCTAATGTTTGTGTAGTATTATGTTCAACAGACTGTGTTCTTCTATTGTTGTGACTTAGATGACGTTCAGAGCACATTTTATGCCCAATTCATGCAAAACTCCACGTAATCCCAAGGGGTTCACATACTTTTTCTTGCAACTGTATTAAAATCATTTGAACTGTATTACCATGAAAATGTGACAGCCTTGTACTCAGAGCAGCAATTCAGTAAAGTCAGATCTGTGTGCACTTTACTGGGGAATGTATATGTTAAACTCTGTGTTTATAGTAAAAGATGATATTGGTAAAAACAACCCCAGGATGTACGAAGCTATAAGAAAATGACATCCTTTAAAGTGGAACCCCAGGTAAATTGCTAAATACAGTTGATATACATATGTGTTTGCAGTTTTGCCTTTCAAAGGATTTGTAATTCTGTTCAGCCAATTTTGTGAATGTTGCCAATTTTTCAGGCTGTACACCCATGCAGGTTTCCTGGTTGAGCAATTCAACTTCCTGTGTTGCTTCTCACCTTCTAGTGAGCGTTTCAAGAACAGCTGCTCAACATTACAAATCTTAAATATGTACGTATTTCAACAGTGTATTTAGACACTTGTCTGTTACTACAATTACAATTAAATGTGTATCATAATTTGAGACTAATTAATTATTACTGTATAGATGTCAGAAGCAGCAATACATAATCAAATGCTACACAAAATAGATAACAGCATACAGAGCAACCAATCCCAGAAACAAGCAGTTGTTTAGGCATCTTAGGCATCAGAAAACATAGATGCATCTACAGTATTTCATTTTTATTATGCTGCATAGGTTGTTAGCCTTAGAGTAAAATAAATGCTAAGAAAGAAATTAAAAAACAAGATTTGTGAACCCTTGGAATGTCGCATTTTGCCCATTGACAGAATGATATACTTATAATTGCTGTGATATACTCATAGCAGTATACAATGTCTAATAAAGAACAATCACCCTATGGCATGAATATATACATCAGGTCTATAATGTATATACCATTTTGAGCTCTGAACAAATACAATCATATACATTGTTGGTTTTTGACCAGAAGAGGACCTTAGAATTAAATTAAACTGTCCTATTCCTTGCAGTTTGAAGCCAGCTCTTCATTAACTGCCTTTACTTGAATTTAGAGAGGCTTTTACCACAGTTGCCATATCCAGATTAGTATAATACTATACACATGGATCTCCTAAGGGCCTCTTCATTCTTATGTTACGAGTTCATTCATTTTCAAGCAGTTCACAGCAACACACGGTAACGCACTACTAAGCCTTATGGTGTGTTGCAAAGGAAAAAAGTAGGTGCATTTTTGGGTCCATTTTGACAGGCATTCAATTCAATTGGCTACCTTATTGCAAAGCATGGTAATACGCTACATACATGTGTTACTTGCATGCATTTCCCCAACACACCAGAAGAGGGCCAAAATGTTTTGTCCAAGAATGAACTGTTATACATGCATATATTGTGCTACTTACAGTAGGTGTAGCCTGGACAGATGAGGAGGAGGCAGCACTAACCACAGATTCACACTCTACATTTTTCAATTCAGCATCCTCAAAGACAAGCACAAAACAAACCAATATGATTAAGTGAAAAAATTTTTTTTAACAATCTATTTTTAAATGATAGCACATTTGCTATTTATTAATAAAAGATTACTACTAATACTCACTTTTGATTTGGCAGGAGGTGTTTTCTGTACAGCTGGGGGCGGGGAACATGTAAAGTCTAATTCATCTGCCAGTTCACTCTCTGTCATAGGCTGAAGAAGCATAAGGTTTATCACATACTTATACAGTGTTCCAATATTACAGAATTTTTTTTTGCAAATAATCCTATTATAATTCACATGATATTTATTAGGTTCTAAAAAAACAAACACAAAAAAACACAAAGGGGGGGGTTTACCAAAACTGGAACGTGCAAAATCTGGTGCAGCTCTGCATAGAAACCAATCAGTTTCCAGGTTTTATTGTCAAAGACTAACTGAACAAGTTTCAAAACTGTTGACCTTCACATGAGAGATATAAGGGGTGCTCCTTGGTTGATGTGTTTTTATTTCTTTTTGTTTTGACATAGAAAAATACTTCTGTATTTCATTAGATCTAGTGTCAGGGAAGATAAAGTACATAGATATTCCTGAGCCCCAATCAGTCATTGGGCCTAAACGTGGCAGCAACCCCTGTCTCCACTGTTAATTTACTGTTACCACTAAGAAATACTGAATATAAATAAGCCCTGTTTAAAGTGAAAATAGAGAGTCTAGAAATATTTGACATACCTTTTCTTCAGGTGGGGGCAGTGCTGGCTTTCCATCTTCTTTCCCCTAGAAAACACCATAGTGCTTAGTACAGAGGAAAAATGAAAAAGTCACGCTCTCTATACAAGTATGTTCCACTTACATCTAACAAGTGCCTGTATGCTGGAGGGATAGAGCTTTCCCTTTTTCCAAGTTCTTCAAGGTATGTTGCTGTAGCAGTTTCCTGTAAAAGGATGGAATGGTCTTTAAAGGCTTTCTGATAATCTGATGTTGTCTAATTATTCAAATGTGCAACTGTGTGCAGCTGTAAAAAAGCACTAATATGGCCCAGCTGCTGTAAGTGACACAAACACATCTATACAGTATGGCCCCATATACACTTACAGTAGGTCCATATATATTTGGACGCAGGCAAAATTTAAATTCTTTTTAGCTCTGTATGCCACCAGAATAAATTAAACGAAACAATCCAAATAAATTTGAAGTGAAGACTTTCAGCATTAATTCAAGGGGTTGAACATAAATATCAAGTACAAATTTTAGGAACTGCAACCATTTTTATATACAGTCCCTCCATTTTCAGGAGCTCAAATGTAATTGGAAAATGAATATAATCATAAATAAAATGTTCATTTTTAATATTTTGTTGAGAATCCTTTACTGGCAATGACTGCCTGAAGTCTGGAACCCATGGACATTGCCAAAGACTGGGTTTCCTCCTTTCTGATGCTTTGACAGGCTCTAACTGCAGTTGTCTTCAGTTGTTCTTTGTTTGTGGGTCTCTCTGCCTGTAGTTTTGCCTTCAGCAAGTGAAATGCATGCTCAGTGGGTTGAGATCAGGTGATTTACTCAGCCATTGCAGAATACTCCACTTATTTTCCTTCAAAAGCTCCTGGGTTGCTTTTGCAGTGTGTTCTGAATCATTGTCCATCTGTACTGGGAAGCGCTGTCCAATCAACTTTGCTGCATTTAGCTGAATCTGGGCTGACGGTATATCTCTAAACACTGCAGAATTTATCCGGCTGCTTCTGTCTTCTGTCACATCATCAATGAACATCAATGACCCAGTGCCACTGGAAGCCATGCATGCCCATGCCATCACACTGCCTCCACCATGTTTTACAGGTGATGGTGTGTGCTTTGGATCATGCCAAGCCTTCTGCACACTTTTTTCTTCCCGTCATTCTGGTACAGATAAATCTTAGTTTCATCCGTCCAAAAAATGCTTTTCCAGAACCGGTCTGGCTGTTTTAGATGTTTTTTGGCAAAGTCTAATCTGGCTTTTCTATTCTTCAGGCTTATGAATGGATTGCACCTTGTGGTGAACCCTTTGTAATTGCACTCGTGAAGTCTTCTCTTGATTGCAGACTTTGACAATGATACACCCACCTCCTGGAGAGTGTCCTTCTCGTGTCCGGATGTTGTGAATGGGTTTTTCTTTACCATAGAGAGGATCCTGCAATCATCCACCACTGTTGTCTTCCGTGGACGTCCATGCCTTTTTATGTTGCTGAGCTCACCAGTGCATTTTTCTTTCCTCAGAATGTACCAAACTGTTGGTTTGGCCACTCCTAATGTTGCTGCTTATCTCTTTGATGGATTTGTTTTGTTTTTGAAACCTTACAATGGCCTGTTTCACTTGCATGGACAGCTCATTTGAACGCATGATGTAGGTTCACAGAAAATGATTCCAAATGCAAATACTACACTTAGAATCAACTCCAGACCTTTGACCTGCTTAATTGATGAAGAAATAACAAAAGAGTAGCCCACACCTGGCCATGAAACAGCTTTTGATTCAATTGTCCAATTACTTTTGGTCTATTGAAAAAGGGGGGATGGCTACACTTTAAGAGCTGTAATTCCTAAACCCTTCCTCCAATTTGGATGTGCATACCCTCAAATTAAACCTGAAGGTGTGCACTTTCAGCCCATAGCCATTATATAACTATAGCTTTGGTAAATAACTGAAAAAAAACTAAATTTGTGCCTGTGTCCAAATGTATATGGACCTAACTGTGTGTGGTGCAGCTCGCCACCAATACAGTCACTGGCTATACAACAGGGCCTGCACACTGTTGCACCAATACTAACAAAGAAGCGCAATTACAATTCAGTGAGTGTCCTGGTACAAAATCTAATACATCCCATCTAAACACCTTCAATTCAGCCACTGAGATGATATATTTTAATAAAGCATAAATAAGCAGCAGTCATGGTTTGTACTTAATGGACTAAGAAGGTCTTGCACCTGCTGTTCCTCCTGTGAATAAAGTCTAGTAACTATTGATGCAGACTAAATAAAGGAAGAAAAAAGTGCTTACCGTTACTTCTGGACCTGTGTAGGCAGGAGACTCCGGTACATTAAACTCAGGGCCTTCTAGAGTACCCATTAATTCATCTAAAGCCGTGTCCATACCAGCCTAAGGATATGTCAAAGAGAAATTATTGGTACATACTATTGCATTAACAGCTGTTATTTATTATACTATTTTGCTCATTGTTATAGCACTAACATGTTTCCATGATAATTCAGATTTTCATTTTTTTGTTTGATTAAAGCTAAAGTCCTGGCAAACCGTTAAATCAACATATATAATACATATATGGGAGTATTTTTTCCTCTACAAGGTTTGTATTTCTTTCCAGCTAGTCATGAAATATACACAGCCCTGCCAGAGGGCAGAACAAGTTTTGTGAGCTGACTTTTACCTGCTGCAACTATACAAGTCATCTCCCTGCCTCCAGCCTTTAATTGGAAAATAAGGGCGCAGCATCAGATCCATGACCTAACATCTCTACTAATAAGTTGATGCATAAGTCGATAGAATCTGAGAACTAACATATACAACATCAAAATTTTTAAACATATTGCAGTTTGGTGTGCAATATTTCTCATATTGAATTGCCTGATGAAAATAATTACTCATCCTATATTATGATATAAATCCTTGGCAAAAACTAAATATGTGAAGCTGTTACAAACATTAAAAGACAGCAGCTGGGCATGATCAATCTTTTTTTAATGAAAAAATATTGCAAGTTTGTATCAGGTGAACTTGCTTGTTTGTACATAATAAGAAGATAGGTGTTGTGTCTTGCAGTAAATAATAATAATTGGCTAGTCCACCTCAAAACATGCTTGGCCATGAAGAGCCGTCTATGGTGGAGATGGCTATAACCATATGAGCATTGCCAATCTGACTAAAAATATTTGGAACAGGCAAATATTCCTTTATGTCTGTAAGCACCTTTAGGCATTAATAAAACTGAACACAACCAAGTAATGATCTCACCTCCTTCCCCTACAATTAGATAGCAGCAGATACAAACTACATCACCGACCTAATATCCAAGTACCACCCCCCACGCACTCTCCGCTCCTCGCAAGACCTCCTTCTCTCTAGTTCCCTAGTCTCCTCCTCCCATGCCCGCCTCCAGGACTTCTCCAGGGCGTCAATCATACTCTGGAACTCCCTACCCCAATCTCTCAGACTATCACCTACTCTCCTCTTCTTTAGGCGCACCCTGAAAACCCACTTCCTTAGGGAAGCCTACCCCACCCCCTGCTAATTCCCGACCTCCTCCACTCTTCCTACCACTCCATCCCCCACAGCTATTTCCTCCTGTACCACTATCCCCTCCCTCCTAGATTGTAAGCTCCAAGGAGCAGGGCCCTCGAACCCCTCGTGTATCGCATTGTATTGGTTATTGTTCTGTCGCATGTTCTGTCTCCCATTGTAATGTACAGTGCTGAGCGAACTGTTGGCGCTTTATAAATACTGTATAATAATAATAATAACTAGATAAGCTACAATTTCTGGGGAAATTGTGTGAAGTGTTCTTGCCTCCACCAGTAGTCTACAACTGGAGTGGGCGGAGTAACTGGGTGGAGTGGCTTGAGTCACTCTGCTGCCTGCTCACACACCTCGGTTCCTTTGGCAACTCACTCTACAGCAAGGGCTGAGAAGAGCAGTTAAAAACAAACTGCTCCAACTTGCTCACTTCACTGGTGGTTGCCATCTTCAAACGGTTGTAGTTTAAAATTATAAATCCTACACCAAAAAGCTTTATATTGTGAGAATCACAAGACCCAGACCTACATTTTGATGCATAGTATGTCTCTGAAATATTAAAAATGAAGGCACAATCGCAGTTTAGAAATTGCCCTTCAAATTTGAGGTGGCTAGAGTGGAGTTTCAATTAATGTCAATGGGCGGCGTGAGTTGCAAACTGGTCATATTGTGAAAATTATCAAGACTATGGCTTAGCCGTGGACATTTTTAGTAGCAGCAGGGATAGCTGAATGTTTTGATATAAGATTTGTGTAGGTGGGCTTGAAAATGAGGGAGTGATGGCAATTTAGAAATCATGTCCTGATTTGTCAGCTCCCACCCTAGTTTTGAACATTCCGCCACTCATTCCTACGGGACCAATTTCACCATAAAAACGTCGATATTTCGTGAACCATTCGGGAACAATCCGCACGTTTCGGTATATTACTGTCTATGTAATGTAAAAACTGTGGGAGGAGTTAGGGTGGTAAATTTGGCTATAATAATAAGAATATATATGTGAGATAACAGTAAGTGGTCATGCCATGCAAGAACTAATCATGCTAAAACCGCAGTTAACATGTAGCTCTATGGGGAACAACAATTTTTTTTTTTATTTACAAGAGGGACCACACATATCCTGATTTTTCTTAATACTTCCAGCCCATTTGTTGCAGCCCAATCTCAACGTCTTTTGCAATACAAACTAGTTCTATAGATTTACTGTAGATAGGTAGGCAGTTTGATCGCAGGGTACTTACAGAGGGTGCTGTGGCAGCCTGTACAGAGGTTGCAAATGAAGGTAAGACAACATCTGCTTTCACTTGTTTGTCTTTTGTAGTGTCCTTAATGGACAAGGAAAAAGTAAGTAAAGAGCTCAGTGATACAGAAGATCATTAGGTATAATATCATAAGCACATTAAAATGGTACTATAAGCCTAAGCAAATAGGTTATTGTAGTAATATTATTTAAATTGGTTTGCTATATGTTACTGCAGTGTACAACTAACCACTATATTTAACATTTTTGCTACTGAATAAACTTATTAGCATAAAGATAGCATAAAGAGATACATCTCTATGACTTACTTTGGGTGCAACAGCAGCAGGAGGAGCAGAGGGCTGGGCAGGTGAAGGAGGAGAAAATTCAAAATCCTTTGACAATTCATCTAATACATCACTGTCAGTCAGTGCTGGCTGCAATATGTAACATATGAACATTACATTATTATTTAATTTCTTTATTGTAGTGTATTAAATATGAACTGAATGTCTGAATTTATAGATGAAAGATATGTCATACATCTGTATAGATTAACATTTTGTCTACTTTAAACACCTAACAGTCTGCATCAATAAAAGGAAATATGATAAGTACCGTATTTTCCGGCGTATAAGACGACTGGGCGTATAAGACGACCCCCCTACTTTTCCTGTTAAAATGTAGTGTTTGGGCTATACTCGCCGTATAAGACTACCCCTCTTCCAATGCACACCAGTGGGAAGAATCGTGCCCCATCATTAGTATCAGTGGGAGGAATAGTGCCCAGTCATTGGTGTCAGTGGGAGGAATAGCACCCCATCATTGGTGTCAGTGGGAGGAATAGCACCCCATCATTGGTGTCAGTGGGAGGAATAGTGTCCCATCATTGGTGTCAGTGGGAGGAGTGGGAGGAATAGCACCCCATCATTGGTGTCAGTGGGAGGAATAGTGTCCCATCATTGGTGTCAGTGGGAGGAATAGCACCCCATCATTGGTGTCAGTGGGAGGAATAGTGCCCCATCATTGGTATCAGTGGGAATAGTGCCCCATCATTGGTATCAGTGGGAGGAATAGTGCCCCATCATTGGTGTCAGTGGGAGGAATAGCACCCCATCATTGGCGTCAGTGGGAGGAATAGTGCCCCATCATTGGTGTCAGTGGGGGGAATAGTGTCCCATCATTGGTGTCAGTGGGGGGTGGAATAGTGCCCTATCGTTGGTGTCAGTGGGGGGGGAATAGTGTCCCATCGTTGGTGTCAGTGGGGGGGGGGAAGTGCCCCATCGTCGGTGTCAGTGGGAGGAATAATGCCCCATCATTGGTATCAGTGGTGACACCAATGATGGGGCACTATTCCTCCCACTGACACTTGCTGACCCCTGTTCCAGTATGGTGCTGCTGCAGCAAGCATATATGGTTGCAGCAGCACCTGTGCACGGCACACTTACCTTCACTTGATTTTTGCGGGGCCGCTTGGCTCCGCCTCCTCCCCGGTGATTGGCCGCCTGTGTGCCTTTCCCGAGCTACAGTTCTGGCGGCCAATCACCGGTGAGGAGGCGGAGCCGAGCAGCCGCACGAACATCCAGTGGCCGAACTGAAGGAAGAGCAGCTGCACTTCCTGGACCGGATCGTCGTGGGACCGGAGCCAGGTAAGAAACAGAAGCCCCTGCCCACCCCTGTACTTAGTTTCACTTCAGCTGGAAGGGGGGGGGGGGGGCGGGCGGCGGCACTGCACCGCCCCCCTAAAAAGTGTCAGCATGCCGTATAAGACGACCCCCGACTTTTGAGAAGATTTTCAAGGGTCAAAAAGTCGTCTTATACGCCGGAAAATACGGTAGACAGTTTCCTCTAAACAAAAATATTGTACCTGATCTTTTAATTCATATCTTGACTTTGCACTGTTTAGCATTAAAATAAACCGATAAAAATAAACAGATAGATGCAAACTAGATACAATGACTTGCTACTTATTTTGACTTACATAAAAATCTATTGCTGCAGAAAACCACAGGAGTCCCTAAAACCAGGATGAGCCTACAGAGCATTACTGACAATATATCCTAAAATCAAATTTGGGTTTCTGCATAGCCAACATAAGCTTAGGGCAGCAGGGCTGCCAGGGGAGCATATATCCACCCATATAACACATTGTTCACTGTCAAGAATACATTCCTTTGTAAAATAAGTACAATTTAGTCCAGTGTGGTCTAAAGGAATCCTTAGTGTTGATGTAACTGCATGCATTGTACATTTTTCTTGGTGGAATAATGTGCTGTCTCATTACAGTTCACCACTTTGAGTCTGTACACCTAGAAACAAACTGCTGGCAAATTCGATTGACATTATGCCTTACACTTTAAACAGCATGTAAGTTCTAGCAATGACAGCTTATTTACTCCTTTTTGGTCTGTTAAATATAACAGTAAATGTGTTTGGCTATATCTGTTCAACAAGTGCAAAAATACCTGTTGATCCAGCCAGAAATCCAGTGCTGTCCTGTGTTTGCACTACAGTTTTATCTGAAGCACTGTTAAGAGCCTCAACAAGTTTTTGTATGTGAACTACAAAACTCTTCCCTAGGTATGAAGAGGTGTTCTGTAGTTCTAACACACTTCCTATCTTGTTCCTCTAAACTTAGAAAAGAATGTGTGTTACTTGCTGGATTGCCCATGTGAAATTCAAGTGAAAAAAAGTCTGGAAAAAAAAAACTAAAGCAGTCACCCCATCTAAGGATTGGTAAGCTGAAACTTATTAACTTATTTGTTCCTGGGTTTATATACACTATTTAGACACCAGTTCTAGGTGCATTGACTGTATACCTTACCATCTCCGCATCAAGCCTCAGGGTATCAAGCAGTTTTAACATTCAATACTAAGGGCGTAGACTCTGAAGAAAAGTTGCTTCATCCACATGGCAATGCTGGAGCGAGAATCAGGAAGCCCTTCATGAGGGCACACAGGCTGAATAAAGAGGGTCTTAGTCTTGCAATCCAAGACTGTGACTGCCAGGTAGACCCTGACAGCCTTGACTACATCCAGACAATGTAGGGCAATTTCCTTGTCATGTTTTCGGGCAGGGCATAGGGAAAGGAGAATGATGTCCCAACGAAGGTGGAAAGAAGTGACCACCTTAGGTAAGAAGGCTTTGGTCTCAAACCCACTTTGTTTTTCTGCAAAACAAGAAAGATCTGCCAACTCAGAAACATGCCTAACAGATGTAATGGCCACGAAGAGGGCAACTTTATGAGTGAGGTCTCCCCATCGAATGTCTCTAAACAGTTCAAAGGGGGATCTCTAAACAACAGTGAGCACTTGGTTAAAATCCCAGGTGACACAGGTCATCAAATTGGGGGAGTTACATGAGCAACTCCCTAAGAAAAGTCTTAAAGTGAAACTCCAGTATGGTTCTAACTAAACTGCTCCCTCTATCTTCCAAACACCTTTAATAAGTACCCTGTGGAAGAAAAATCTGTATACCTACGTGTTTTCAGGCTGCTCCAGTACAGTCACAAGATTGGCTCCCTTGTGTCAATTTCTACAACTAATGGTCCAGAAAACTAGAGCCTATTTAAATTATACAAAACATCTCATACAACTCTTGAATAAGATGCAGTTGGAACAGGAGAATGTGCTGCTTGCCACAGCAGATGTGTCCTCGCTGTAAACTTATATTAATCATACTGAGGCTAGTTGGCCATGGATCATTGGAGTGATATGGGGAATATTCAGAAAAAATTTGTGCTACAATGTTTGGAATATGGTTTAAAACACAAACTATTTTTGGTATAATGATAATTATTAAACAAATAAGGGGAATTGCTATGGAGGCAAAGTTTGCACCCAGTGTAGCCAATCTCTTTATGGCCCAATGGAAAGAGATGATGGTTTATTCAAATCCCCCTGAGGAACTTCTGTTGTATAAAAGGATTCAGTGATGATTTGATAATTATTTGTGCAGGCGATGAAAAAAGTTTGAAATGATTCCTCGATCAAATGAATAATAACAATAAAAATATTCAACTGGTTTCTGAATGGCATAACCAAAAAATTAACTTCCTGGGTTTGGAGATAATAGTTCAAAGTAGAATGCTAACCACTAGGATTCACTTTAAATTGGTGGATTGAAATAGTTATATATCCACTGATAGTTGTCACCATTCACCTTGGTTGACTCTTGGTTAAAATCCCCCAAGGGTCAGTTGGCATGTTTCTGAAGAGACTGTACCGATCTGAAAGACTATGAGAAGCAAGCTCACCTTTTCGGCCAACGATTTATTGAGAGAGGTTATGAGAAGACTTTTGTGGTGAATAAGATCAATGAGGTTGCCAAATTAGAGAGAGACAATCTACTGAGTGATAACACGAGAGTGAAAGATGAGACCATCTCAGATATCCCTATTATAATGGATTTAAAACATAGAGCGGTGGAGAAAATCTTTCAGAAGCATTGGTCAATCCTTAAAGAAATTTTACCAACACAGCCGAGATTTATCTATAGAAAAACTCCTACTCTACGAGATAGATTGGTCAGAAATTTTATTGAACCACCTAAAACTAAGAAAGCATGGACATTTTGTGATGGGAAAGGTTTTTATCCCTGCAAAAGGTACTATGCGTGTTTGAACATAAAACAGAATAATAAAAAACAAGATACCTTCATTTCTACATTAAATGGTAGGGAATTCCCAATACGAGATTTTATATCATATAGGACGGAGGGTGTGGTGTACGCCCTCCAACGCTCATGTGGTTTACAATATGAAGGCCGTACTAAAAGACCTCTGTGGAAAAGTGTGAAGGAGCATGTTAAAAATATTCAGAAGGGTTTAAGAAAACACACAGTGTCTAAACATCACAGTAAAAATCCAGCCTCTCTAAAATTTGGGGGGACAGAGAACTATAAACCCCACTGGAGAGAGAGCAATAGGATCATGAAATTAAGTCAACTTGAATCGAAGTGGATTTTTTAAATGGATACTATGACCCCAAAAGGGCATAATATTGAGTTCAATCTAAATTGCTTTATCAGTGATTATTAGTGCCCTATTAACATGGGAAAGCCCCTTTTTTTCTTCTCCTTTTCCCCCTTTTTTATACTCTGAAATGTGCTCTTCCCCTTTCTTTCTCTTTTTTCTTTCCCTTTTTTGGTGCAATATCACCTCTACACACTAGATGGGAGGTATATAATATTTTAATGATATGTTTACATATATCCTAAGTGCAATATCTTTAGTTGAGACTAGATGGAGCATTTTTTTATTTATCTATTCATTGCAATATATTGTTACTAAGGAGTTATTTATTATTTATTTTCTGTTTTATATATATTTTTAACATTTTTATGCAATATATTTGCCAATTGTATATAGCATAGCAGTGTTTATATCTCTGCTCTATTAATGCCGGTGTTAGGAGCTTTGTTTCCGATCACCATGGTTACCTGTTAACCCATTTGGGGCTCTATTTAAATGGACGCACGTCACAGGGCTCCTTACCCTGAGGAAGTCACGTGACCAGTGACGCAATGCATCGGGCGGAGCTTAGTAACGTCACTTTCAGTATTGCGCAAACGGGGAAGTGTGAGAGGAACCATTTTTGTCAATGGAGTTACATGTCTTCGCTGTTTTGCACTTTGTGAGTGGATTTTAATAGCTTAATAAAGGAAATCTTTTTTATGGGGTTGCACTATGATTTGTGCTTTTTTCCCCTGAGCATTTACCATCTGGGTGGGAAGCTGAAATCCAGTCTCTTAAAGGGCCAGTAGCAAGGAAATAGCTACTAAGGGATAGCGGTGGACAAGCAAAATATTTACCAACATTTATAGTGCTTATGACCTATATATATGGGTCAAGGAAAAAGGTGAGCGCATGGCACTCATTGGTGATGAGAAGCATTTTTGTATATGTTGGATAAAGTGAACACTTTACAACACTGTTGTGGAGCACAATGTTTTTTTGCTGTAATGTGAGCACATATGTTTTGTGCACTCAGCCATTTGCTTTAATTTAAACGGTGTTGCACTACGATATATATTTTTTGTTTTTTATATACATGTTTTTGGAGTCGTGATTGAGTGAAGAAATTTTGGATTCATCGCCACATGAAAGGATTCACTCCTGTAAAAACGCATTTGACCCATTATAATTTGTAGGTCAAACTTAAAGGTGAGCAGGGAGAGTATCTTGGGCACAAGCACGTCTTCTGGAAAGTGATTGTTAAACACTAAATTTGGACATTCTGTGATTTGGGAGTTGGACTTTTATTGTAGTGTGGATTTATTTTGCATGGGATTACTTGAGGATTATTTTATTTCATTTATATGTGTCTGGATGAGGAGTTAGCACAATACACATTCTTGGTTTATACGATAAAGTACATTGTTATTCATCCTTGTACACAAAATTTCCAACTTATAGCCAAAGAGGCTGAAAGTGCATGTTTCTGAAATAACTTAAATAAGCCCCCAACAGGATCCTCACATACAGAGCCTCCTCATCCAAGGCAGGGGAAAAGTTCTCAGCACCCGTGGGCCTGAAGGTTCAATCCTGTCAGCTTCAGCCGTCTGAAAGGGAGGAGGGGACCTACCTATCAACCCATGGTCTCGACCTCCTTTCAAGACAGCCGAAAGGCCAAAAACAGATGAGAAAGAGAAAGGCAAGTAATAGGGGGTCAGAAAGAAAAGAAAGGAAAAGGAAAAGACAGTGAGCCTCCTCTGGGGCCCAGATAGGTTATCTGTGAACCTGGCTAAGAAGGCCCTGTATGGTAAGTAATCCAAGTTTCATAAATTCTTTCAAATTCAGATATCTTGTCCTGCAGAATGGCAGAGAGGCGTTCGTTCAACATTATCCTGGACAAATTAGTTTTCACAAGATCAAAAGGGATCACGGGGGAGATATCCAATATCTCGCAATCGTGATCCCAGCCACTATCAAAATCAATGTTATGAGGCATTGAGATGGTCTCGGGGCCCCTTACACAGGACAGCCCAGTAGAGCCTGTCACTGGGATTTAATTAAAATAGTCCCTGTAAGGGAATAAAGAAGATAGCTACTGACTTTTAATACACACACACTCATCTGTCCCAGGGTCCAGTGATGTGCTCATCCGCACTGTCCCTTCTCTCCCCGGAGGCGGCAACTCAACTGTGGGCACCAGGCTGTGACAGTTTGTGGACTTATAACCTTGAGATTGTCCATGCTTTTCCACAATTTTTGTTCTCAAATCCTCAGACAATTCTCTGCTGCTCTGTAGGGGTGCCAGTATTTTTGGCCATGCCTATATTTGGTGTATTATTAAATATTATACAATTATTGGAATTACTTTTTGATGTTTAATAGATTTATTTTTTATGAGGTTGGTGAAATAGAGCATAAGAGATTAAGGACTGGGTTAGCGCAGCACTTATTAATATCGAAGATCCACCATGTTAGAAGAGCGCTTTGTCTTGCTGAACAGACACATTGGGTATTCCATGTCATGAATATGTTGGATTGAAGATGTCTGAAGTGAAACTGGGTAAAGTGAACTGCCTTAAAGAAGGCTACTATCAGGCTCAGAACCTCATGCAAAAGTGAACTGACGGGTGCTGTTTTGACCTGAAGATCCTCATGTGGGATCTCTTAAGGTAAGCAACTTCTGAAGAAAAAAAGATTCTGTTTTGGTTCCAACTTTTGTGAACATTCGGGGCGCAAACGAGAGCCTGAATGATAGAGCTACAAATTGGAAGTGCTGGTCTCCCACAGCAAATCACATAAATTGTTTGTGCGGTGGAAAGATAGGCATCTTGTATGTCTACTAATGCTGAAAATTCCCCTTGTTTGAGAGAAGCAATGAAGGATCCCATTGATTCTATCCAGAATTTTGGTATTCAAAGAAATCTGTTAAGACCCTGTTTACACAGTTGGCTTGTGTTTTACCACACTGAATGAATGCATGTCACTGCTAGGACACACAATGTGTATGTCTATGTGTCCTAGTCACATTGTGGCACACCCAGGAGGTGCGATGCAGTAAGTTATGATAAAATGTAGACATGCTGCATTTTATCGCAGCATACAAGCAGGACTGCATGTCACTGTACAGCAGGGCAAAGCGCCATGCTGCTGTACAGTGACAAGAATGATGTGTCGCTTTTGTGCACTTTAAATAAAGATGGCACAAAAAAAAACAGGGAGCTGTATGATGCCCTGAAACATGCATCACACCGTCCCCTACTACTCACTTATTGCAGCTGCAGTGGACAGTTGTCCAGGGCAGTGTGAATGGACCCTTAGAGCTTTTAAGTCCAGTATGGAGTGGAAGCCCCCATCTGGTTTTGGAACTGTGAACAGGTTTGACTTGAAAGCGTGGAAACATCCTTCTAAAGGAACTGGTACAACCACTTCTTGTGCCCAAAGTTGGTGCAAGGTGGTCACTAAATCTGCTTTCTTTTGGTCTGAAGCTGACAAATTGGAAGGCAAAAAGCGGACAGGTAAAAGAGATAGAAACTAATTTCATATCTCTTTAAAATTACAGATTGGGCCAAGAGGTCCAAGACGTCTTGGATTCAGATTGGAAACCACCCCCCCACACACACACACACACACACACACACACACACACACACACACACACACACACACATACTGTGTGACTTGCTGACTAGAGGTTGTAGATGTAAGAGTGAGTATGAGACTATGGCTTTTTCTTATGAAAAGATTCCCCAAATAGGTGTTCACCATCAATAGGCATGCTTTGAAGACACGGTTTACAAGGAGATTCAGTAGGTCAAACTTTTAACCACAAAATCCTGTGCAGAGGTATGGAACATTCTGGAGACTTGGTGAATTACATTTTGTAAAGCGACAACACAAAACAATAATGCTGAGGGTATCAGCTGCAATTGTTCTAGAAAGCAGGGTCCTCAAAGACAGGGAACAACCTGCATGGGCAAAGAAGGCCTTTAAGAGGGCTTCCAGAGCCCTATCTACAAAATCCTTAAAAGAGGAACAGCCTCCATAGGAACTGTAAAGTGTTTATTGATAACTGAAATGGCAGGATCCACTGCTGGAACAGTCAGTTTCTTCTTAAATTCCTTTTTAATAAGCAGAGAGCTTGTAGCGCCATCATCCTAGGATGCTTCCAGTGGCTCCCAATCTGACAGATGAACGAACGCTGCTTTAACCAGTCCAGTGAGTCAAGTGTATAAGATGGCCTCAGCCGCTACTCAGGTTACACCCTCTGACACAGTACAGTACAGTATATTTGACATGAATCCATAGCTAGTACCTTGTACCTATGCAGGCGAAGCAATGATCTCTGCGTTCACTGCTAGAAAATCAGGGCCCCCCATAATATGGTAAGAGGTTCTGCCAGGAGTGAAAGAAGGTTAGGGGAATAGAGAACATGTAGTGTTTCTGCTCTCTGGAAACCAAATGTTCTGGAAGCATTGAGTGTTTTACAAAGAATTCAAACATACTGGCAGAGACATCTGCTTTTTGAGACAGCCACATGGTGCGTGCTTGAGGGGGAGCTAGAATCAAATTTTTTGCTAGTGTTTTATCACCTGAAGGTAGCCTGCATATAACCCATGGTTTAAGAATACAAGTCACATGCTTCATAATTAAAGTATTGGAAATTTGCAAACTACAGATGCCTAGGTTTGAGGCTCTTGGAATACCATGTATTCATGGATTTGAAGTTGGATAGATCAGCACCTCACAGGCCCTAATTTGCATTTATCTGCATATTTCAACTAAATACCTGATGTAACACAAACATACAATACCAACACATTTCCAATAGACATGGTGAAAAATGTAATATTGTATACCTCAAGGTTCTCTGCTGCAGGTAGTATAGGTTTACCATGATCTTTCCCCTATGAAATGCAATGTACATTATTAAAAGGCAAAAAGAACACAGACATACATCTGGTCTGTCATTACATGTTTATTTGGGGAAAGCAGCATATACTCACATCAAGCAAATGTCTGTATTCTGGAGGTATTGTCGAATCTCTCTTACCAAGTTCCTCCAGGTATGTTGATGTAACATGTTCCTGGCAATAAAAAGTTCAGAGTTCGTTATTTAAAGTGTACCCAAGGCAGACTTTTTTTTATTGAGGAACAAAAGCATCTAATCCATCTAAGCAGGTTAGATCACAGTGACCTATGCAATTTTTGACCAGAAAGTGCAGGTACACTTTCAGCCCAACACCAACCTCTCTCCCTGCCCCAGTACCTCATTTTACTTTCTCCATCCCCCTTGCAGCATAGCTGCACCTCCATTAAAAAAAAATACTTACCTTTCCCCAGCAGTCTTTGGTCCAGTCATGCTGATATCTTGTGTCATCCTCTTATTCTACTGTCCTAACTGGTGGAATAGTCTTGAATGCTGTAGCATTCTCCAGCAATTCCAAGGTGACTGGATTATAACCTTGGCTCACAGAAGGTTTATTGAACAATGGTGGGCATCATTCATCCAGGAAGAGCAGCACCATCTAGTGGCACAGAAGACTTACTGCAGAGGTCAGCACGGTAAACAGTGCAGCAAAAGTTGCATTTTTGGTATTTAAAAGCAGAACTTCATGAAGTTGTTTTTCCCATGCAGTGGGGCTGTGCCCAAACTGCATGGGTTAACTGCTCGCTTTGTCCAGAGGCACAAAGGGTATACTTACCCGATCCTCCGTAAAACAGCGCTCCCCCACATCCAGTGGTGGACTGTTCCTGCCGTCCTCACATCCAGAGCCAGTCTATGGGCGTGATGACGTTAGGAACAGTCCACGCACAAGACCACTAGCATGCGGCAGGCAGGTGTGGCAGGGACCGATCGGCGAATTAGGCAAGTATATCTCCGCTCTCCTCATCCCTAGACAGAAACGAGCAGTTAAGACATGCAGCACGGGCACAGCCCCACACATTGGAAAAAAACGTTTCCTGCAATTCTTCTTTAACATTTTATGGTGAACTGAATTTTTTTATGCTAGAGTTTACATTCATCAGTATAATGAGGGGATTGTATTAATGAGGGGAATAGATGCGAATAGCAACCAATCAGCTTTAATCTTTCATTTTTAAACCTTGAAGCAGACTTAAAATCCCACTTTTAAAAACTGCAAAAAGGAGGGCTCTTTATTGCAGAAGAGACATGCAATGTTTCTTCTGCAACAAAAGAAACCTACCTGCCTGCTTGCATTCTTCTATGGAATGTGCACTGAACAGAGCAAGCGCAGCTAAATTTAGATTTCATTACAGCGACTGTGTGTCGGGATTATTGCACTTCTGCACATGCGCAGGAGCGATGTCATCCTGCACTGGTCAATCAAGATGGCCGCAGCCCGACACCCGGAAGAATGCAGGTAGAAAATGCCAGTGCCAGAAAGGACGTTAGACCGTTGAAAGGAGGTAAGAGTTTAGCTTCACTTTAACTGAACAAGCTGAAGATAGAAGCCAATTGGTTGCCATGCACAGCTGCTCCAAATCTGTCTGGTCCAGTTTTGATAAATTCCCCTTTTGCATTTTTGGTCATTCTGTGGGATATCAAGGAAATGTTGCACTGTAAATTTTAGACTTCAGGTCCAGTGCTAAAATCCCCAGAAATCATATGTAATTCACTTAAGTCTGAAAGATAAATTCCAGTTAGTTACTATATATCACTTCCCTGTTCTTTAAATATGTAGTCTCTTTGTAGCCATTTCCTGTCCATATGCGTGACCTTCAATGATGACTGTGTGGCATTTCTCAAGGCAGGATTCCTGGTGTGATAACAGTGGACTATGCCTGCATAATGGGGTTTATTTACTAAAGCTGGAGAGTGCAAATCAGATTCACTTCTGTATAGAAACCAATCAGCTTACAGGTTTTATTGCCAAAGCTTAATTCAACAAGCTGAGGTTAAAAGCTGATTGGCTACCAGGCACAGGTGCACCAGACTCTGAGTGAACCAGCTTTAGTAAATTTTCACAAATATGACAAATCAGAAGCTCAATTGTGAGATAGGGACAGAGTGTTGTCACCCTATAGCAGGAAGTGCCTGGAGAAAAAACTTTATATCAGGTTCACCAGGTATAATTTTAAGGAAAGTTGCAGATTTACTAAAATTGACATTTACTTTCGAAACTGGATTAACATGTTAAAGCTTATATGAGATTGACCAGATTTACAAATGCTTTAGGTTTTTGGTAGAAGGTTGAACCTGTTAATGCAAGTTGAAAAATGTAAAGAGGGCAGACCTATACCTGACAATGGCATGTTCTAAGAGGTCTCCTTATCCTTGCCTGCATAGATGGACAACTAGCAACTGTCACAGTCTTTTTCAAATTCAGCCAACAGCAGAAGGTCTAATGCCCGGTACACACTAGAAGAAAATCGAATGAAAATTTTCGTATGAGGACCGATCGTCCGATAATCGGTTCGTTAGCACACAGCTTTTGAGAGCCGATCACGACAATATCCGAAGGGACAAGTGCAAATATTTTTCTCGTATGATACCAGATCGTACGATTTGTGTTTAATCAGTACAGTAGTCGTCTGAAAATACAATACAAATACAACGCAATACATGACATCATAGAATTTTCGTATCTTTAGTAACCTTTTCACTTTTGATGCGACTAGCAAGCGAAAAAAAACGGCCTATCTTTCTTCCGATATTCCCATCGTGTGTATGGGGCATTAGTGTTTAGTTATGTTGAGTATTTTCAACAATTATATGTTTTCTGTGGACAACAACAAGCAATTGCAGCTCTGATTCTTCTAGCCTCATTACTGTAAAGCAGAGCATACACACAGGTCGAATAACAGCTGGTTCAGCAGGAATCGGCTGACTTTCAGTCTGTGTGTACTACTGACTGTTCAACAGAAGCAGGTCTAACGATTGGCTTCTGTTGAACAGTCATGCTGGAAAACCAGCATTCGATCAGCAATTGCAGCCAAAGCTGATCTGTGTATTCTGGGAGGAGAGATCCCTGAATAAGCATTATTTATGTTAATGCAGGGATCATTGGTGGTGTATACCCTGCTTAATTAGTGATCCAGTGATCTGTTATATTGCTTTTAATTATCAGGCCCCATAAAGCAAAATGTAAATATATTTGTTATATGTTAAATTTTGTACATATTACCACCTTTAAGCTCACAGAAATCTTTTTTTTCAGACAAGCATTTGCTGTGTTTGTTTAATATTCTGGTAAATGCTGCCAGAATCCTACCAACCCCTAACTGAGATCTCTGCATTAATTTCCAAGGTATGAACATTTATTGCAGCCATTATGAAGAGCTCCCCCTAAGCATGTATTTTTGATAGATCAATAATGTGTATGAGAAAGCGGTGACTTACTGTTACTTCTGGGCCTGTAAACTGGGGTGATTCGGGTACATTTGCTGGGGGACCCTCAAGTGTGCCCATAAGTGCATCTAAAGCTTCATCTGATGCGTTCTAAAGAGAAAAAACACAAGATCAAGATCTAAAAATAAGGGTGTATGCTGACATGCTATGAAAGCATCTGATACATATTAGCTCTATATAAAAGTGCAGGCTTCGTTCACATATAAGCGAAATCACTGCGATTCTTCCCATGATTTCAAAATGTGCTGTTAAAATGTGAAATCACTCATCAGCATGTTCAGGTGCCGTTCATTTCAATGGCACCTGAAAACGTGGGGTGATGTTGCCGTAGTTGCCATTGATTTTTTTCATACACAAAAATCACGCAAACAGAATCTCGTAATGTATTTCACCCAATAAGAAGTTCCAGAACTTCTTTTGGGCACCGCATGGCAACCGCAGCAAAATTGCCCTACGTTTTCAGGTGCCATTAAAATTAATAGCACGTAAAACACGCTGATGAGCGATTTCACATTTTAACAGCGCGTTTTGAAATTGCGGGCAGGATCGTGGCCCCCCGATTCAAAACGCCTATATGTGAACGGACTGTAAGGGAAATGTTGTCTGTGTTATTTATGTAAAATACAGTTAAACCCATATTTTCAACATATGTGATCTTTTTAGGCAACAGGCATTCCTCTGTCAATGTATCATTTTGTTTCGGCCTCTGGTAATTGGCACTGGGAGATCTCAGTGCTGTCAGCGTAGGTAAAGGTGGATAGGACAATTTTGGCCCTGATATAAATTATTTACAAAGGGGTCCATTTATAAGTTCTTTCACGATTCACAAAACTTTCACCCAGGATTCACATATTTTTTCTAATTGGAAATAACAAAATACATGAAAGTCCTGAGTGAAAGTTGTGTGAAAAATTATGAAATGGCCTCCTAAAGGTTTGGGTTTTGTGTAAAACTTTTTGGCAGGTGTAGGATCAATAATCAGTGCTTCAACAGATGTTGGAATACTGTCTCGCATGTACTATTAAACAATATTCTGCTCATTGCTACCACAGCACTGGCGGGATCTTGATAAATATCGGGTACAAGAAGATGTTGCCATTGTGTCATTTTAGGAAACATTTGCAGACCCTAGCCCTTCCTATTTGCATCATAACTGCCTGCTCAAGCAATACATTTGCAGATTCGAAGTACTGTGATCTTCATACATTTCCTTTGTCTTTGTTTCCTCCTCAGCTGTCTTAGCATGCAGTATGACTCATGCAGGGTGTGGTTTTAGATTGAGAAATTCATTGTGAGATGTTCTGTACTGGAGACATGATTACTGATCTCGGCAGATAGGCTGATTTAATATCACACAAAGAGCTGTAATGCGCAGAAGCCAACATTAACAAATCAGGAAGCAGCTGTCATTAACAAGACTACATTAAAAAGCCTAAAGAATAATGCATTTTCTGCTTAAATACCTTCTGCTAAAACTGTTATCCAAACATGAAAAGTAAAAAAAAAATATTATAAAAACACTAGTCTTGCTTTAGCCTGGCCAAATATGACAATCACTTGGCTGTATTCAGATATACACTCACCGGCCAATTTATTAGGTACAGCTGTTCAATTGCTTGGTAACACAAACTGCTAACAGCCAATCACATGGCATCAACTCAATGCATTTAGGCATGTAGACGTGGTGAAAACAACTTGCTGAAGTGCAAACTGAGCATCAGAATGGGGAAGAAAGGGGATTTAAGTGACTTTGAAAGTGGCATAGTTGTTGGTGCCAGACAGGCTGGTCTGAGTATCTCAAAAACTGCTGATCTACTGGGATTTTCACGCACAACCATCTCCAGGGTTTACAGAGAATGGTCCGAAAAAGAAAAAATATCCAGTTGTGTGGCTGAAAATGCCTTGTTGATGTCAGAGGAAAATGGGCAGACTGGTTGCTGTGACATTCAGATGGTAGAGTCAGAATTTTGCATAAACAACATGAAATCATGGATCCATCCTGCCTTGTATCAACGGTTCAGGCTAGTGGTGGTGTACTGGTGAGCAGAATATCTTCTTGGCACTAGCAAAGTGTACCTAATAAAGAGGCCAGTGAGTATATATACTGTAGTAGCAGCAGGCAGCCATCTGTGGGCCACTCTCAGAAGGAAGAAAAAAAATGATCGACTTATCAAAACCTTGCTGCATCTGCTTTCTTAAAAAAACATTAAAGTGGTTGTAAACCTCAGACATGAAATATCAAGAAAGCATGGATTTCTATAGTGTTTACTTGGCTCTTTCCAAATCACTAAATGTAATTTCTCTCTTGCACAGTGTGTAACTGCAGTTCTCTGTCCCCTGCTTTGTGAGCCTGTGAAAAATAATTTTAATCTCTGAGTTTTTCAGGATGTACAGGACAAATCGCTACAGATGAACAGGTACAACTTATTTAGGAAGATTGTTTCACCTCTGTGTCACCTGAGACAATCACTTCATTGGGTATAGGTAAAGGTTTACAACCACTTTAAGTTGACTTTGATGCTTCTGTTTTAACTGTACAATCTATCTGTGCACATACTGTAAGCTGTTCAGAGTCACCATAGTTAATCATACTGACAAAGTATATCTTTGTGTGGAAGCTCTGCTATGTTACACATCTTTCAGAACAGGACTATTGTCAAAAACAAGCTATGACCCTATAATCTTTAACACTAGAATGAGGCAGCAGCAAGTGTACTTAAACTCCAATGGGAATGCAGTTTTTTTTGCTGCTTATGCACATATGAGTCACAAGTACTGTGCTAGTGATGCAAACCTAACTAGCAAAAATTAGCTTGCAAGGGGTAAATTAGGAGACTGATATTAAATGTAGTAATGGTTGTAGATGTTTTCCAGCATGCTACAAATATATACTGTATATTCTGTACAGTGAAGTTTACTTTTCCCAAAAAAAGGAATGATTTTTGAAGTAGTAACAATATTCTTACAGTAGACTGGGGCTGTGAATGTGCAGTAGGAGCTGTTGATGCCTTCGGTGCTTCTTTTTTCTGCCACAAAAAATAATTTATGATAAATGTTTAATGAAAGGCACTACAATGCAACACACACTACCATAAATACCTAATGTTTTCATATTCCTATGGTGGTCATCACTTTCAAACTGCTTATACCAAACAAGGGCCCTTGCCTTGTCACATTCAATCTATGATATGGTAATATGCTGACTTTGGCAGCGATGGTAAAAGCATTCTTTATTAAAACAGATCACTGTATGTATGCATGCATAGGTATCTGAAAGGCCTCTCTGTAGAACTAATACCTGTATAGTGCACAAGGGAATAATTATTTATTTGTGGATTTGGGTGGCAGTGCAAAGTTGTCAGCTTGCACACTCGCACATCGAAACAAGCCAACTGTAAAATAGTAATAGCTTTACATGCGCAGCAATGTATATAATACACCTTGTAAGAAAATTTCCAGTATATTACCCAATTTAAGAGAGCATACAAAAAACAATAAACAATATATAAAATTGGTAATGGTGACATGTCCTATGTCCCTTCTGGTTTTATCAGTTTTCTGTATTTTCTAGTATTTATTGAGTGTCATAGTGTTACGTGTTGAAAGAAATGTGTGTGCTTGTCAATAATGACTTCTTGTTCCAAATTTCCATCCATCTTCTTAAAAATAAAAAACACATTAAGACTCACCTAGGTGGATGCAGCATCAGTCCGATGCTGCATCTGTCCCCGTCAGCTGAGAACTGAGCAATCAAACACTGCTGATCGCTCATTTCTGCCCTCCGCTTTGAGCAGAGTGTTGACTGTCAGTCACCGGCTCTCTGCTCTGCCCCTCCAGTTCTCACTGGAGCGCTGGGCTGTGAAGGGGGCAGGAGCAGCTGGTTCAGGCTCTCAGCGGCTCACTGAGAGGATGAGCCAACTGCTGGTCCAGGCATCTGAGTGGATCCTGACTTTAAAGTCAAGATCTTTTCTGACCTGGAGCGGCTGAGTGATGTCAGCTGACAGTGACCTTTAGCACGCGATCGGCCAAAAACAGGTCAAAGGAGTCCAGAATGGAATGGACTCCTGTGATCCCCTGGAGAAGTATAGCAAAAAATAACTTTGGCTATATTTCTTCATTAACAAAAATTACACTTTACACCATACAAAAGGAACAGCATCACTACCTCTTCTAGTTTTGGCTTCTTCTCATCAGGTGGAGCTGAACAGCTGACAAAATCAGATGACATTGCTGCAACAAGATCCTCATCATCCAAAGTCTATAAAAACAAAATGAGTAAATGCACAAAATGATGCAAATACTGCAGACAATTATTACACTTTCTTACTTTATGCAATGACAAAACCGTCAGCATTATAGTGATGTAACATACAAAAAGAAGGAAATAATAAAGCCATACATACAGAAACTAGTTAGAATAAACTTTTCCCAGGGAAAAGCAGAAAACAAAATATATTCATTTATTTGGGCAACTTTCACCATTTCATTTTTTATGTTTCCCTATTCCATTTAATTTTCTTTAAGTTAACCTAAACTATTTAAACATCTATCAACACGGGGATTGTCCAAGATAGCACTGAAAGCAGACATGTAGATATGAGGCCCCCGATTCCAGTCTTAATCCTGGCTTACCAGTCAGTGCAGGGTACCTTATGTTCAGCAGGAGCAACTCCCCTTCCAGTGCTGGGTGATGATTAGAGGCAGACATGCTGGCTCGATTTGTCACGCAGCTAATCCTGTGACTACTGAGGCCCTTTGCGGGCACTCCTGCCATTGCACCTGTGACAGAGACACAGACTGAGGGCCCAGAGCCTGCTTCCTCAGGGTCAGATAACTTTGACTCTCTCACGCAAGCTATCAATAGCTGCCAGACTGCTCTTACCACCAAGATAGATCATCTGCAAGCTGAAATCGACTTTATTTGCACGGGTCTTGATCAATTCAGGGAGCGCATAACAGAGGGCAAGCACAGAGTGTCCTACGTGGAAGATGTTCAGCGCGACGACCCTCCACATCCAATAGAACAAGGTTAAACACCTGAAATCCAGAGCTGAGGATGTGGAGAACTACAATTGACGCAACAACTGATGCATAATTGAGCTCCGAGGGCTCGGAAGGCTCTGGACCCACGACTTTTAGGGAAACGCTCCTGATATCGCTTCTGCCTAAAGCTAAATTCTTGCCTATTTTCTCCGTCAAGCTAGCATACTGCATGCCTGCAACCTGCAGCCCGTAAGGGGTGCCGCCACTCACATTGACCTTTAAACTTCTCCACTTCAGAGATTGTGATCTGGTGCTCCGTGAAGCCTGCAATCAGGGGGACCTGATGTATGAAAACACTAAGCTCCTCATATTCCCTGATTATTCCGTGGAGACACAGCATCAACAGAAATCCTTTGACCATGTTAGAGCTAAGCTCCGCGCTAAAAGGGTTGCAGTTTCCTAGTATGTTGTTTCCTGCCAAGCTGAGAATTCAAGATGGAAACCACATGCATTTTCTTCAAATCTCCTGAGGACATCGCTTCCTGGATTGAAACGGTTTGCAAGTAGTCTCATTCCCAGTGGGCTTTCCTGTATCTTTGTCTACCTGTCTGGAGAGCTCTGTGAGGCCTTCTATATTTTTTACAAGATCCTAGTGTACATTATTAGCCTGAATGCCTGCTGGGGTCTTTGCCATTGTGCCCTGTATTTGTGCACCCTCTGGGCAAACTTGGAATAATGTGGTAACCTGGCACAGCATCTGCAACTTGATCATTTTAGTGCTTAACAAACTCTCCACCGTGTTGGAAGTTGCTTGTACTATAGTTAATATTTAACTGCAACTGCTCAAGTAATGTGCCCGCGGTTTCACCAGAATACCTGCACCGAATTTATCCACCGAAATGCCTGTTGCGCTTTCTATATTTTTGCACACCTTGCGCACTGAGCCCCCTATGTGTGGCTTGAGAGCCTGCCAAGTTTGGGATGGAAGCCTTCCTCAGTTTTAAGGGGATGGGCGAGGTTTTTAAATTTTATTCTGGTTTGTTACAGCTCTTTTCACTGTAATTTTCTCGCATGGGCTTATGTATTTCCAGTATAGTGCTTTCTGTCCATCTAGTGATTTCTCATGCCTAGTCTATCCGAGTCCAGCCTTTTTTTTGGTGGGTGATGTCCCATAGCAATTATTTTCTCTTTGCTATGTCACAGTATAGTAATGTCTAGGAGAATACAAGCAGCCCAAGCTCCACTGTTAAGCATTCCCTAGTATTTCAGTTTTTGAAGACCTATGCTCCTCATAGAAGAGAGTTACGAGAAGCCCAAAATGATGAAATTGCAATTGTATTTTAGTCACTCTATCAGAGAGGGATCACTGGAGAAGGAAATGTTTGGGAAAATCAAAGGAACCAGATGAAGAGGGATACTGGCTACTAGGTGGTTGGACAAGTTCACTACAGTTGTGGGGATGACACTGTAGAGTCTCACCAGACTAGCACAAAGCCAACTTCTTTTTAGAGCTCTTATTCATCATCAAAATGTTAAAACTCGGGTTTGAGTTGATGGCACCTAATAATAATAATGCTTCTCATATTTGTTTATTACAGGAGATGCATCTCTTGGTAGCAAGACCCTTAGCTTACCACCTAAAAAGCGGTAGGTTGGACACCACTATCATGCCACCTACTCTAATTTTGATCTGGGGGTGAGTAGAGTGGTTCGCAAATCCCTGCCCTTCAAATTACTGGATCTTGTCCGGAACCCAGATGGCTGGTTTATAATTCTGTATGCTCAAATTGAATAATTAGAGACAGTTTTAGTCGGTTTATATTTGCCTCCACTGGCCTCCCTTAAGCTGCTGCATAAAGTGACAGCATTGGTGGCTAAATACGCTACTGATAACATCATAATCGTGGGTGATTGTAATCTGGCCCCCGACCCAGGTAGGGAAAAGCTATCCCCAGAAGGCCACTCTCATTCTGACCTTTCTACATGGGCGAAGATATACGGTTTAACTGATGTTTGCCGTTGGAAATACCCTACCACTTGCACCTATGCCGACCACTTCGCCGCCTACAAAATATTTTCTCATAATGATATGGCCTTTGTGGGGGATATCAGTCTTGCTCAGGTACAGGGACATGTCTATCCTAACGAGGGGGATGCTGCACTTCTACTACAACGCAGGGCATCGGATAACCCCTTGGATAGATTGTGGAGACTTTCTAGATTTTGGATTACTGATGTTACCGTTAAACCAAAGTTCAAGTATTACCTCAATAAATTTTGTAGTATCAACCCCGACTTCACCTCTGATGCCACTGTATGGGATGCCTTTAAAGCTTCCACCAGATGGCCACTTGTTTATAGGTTTGGTACATATAGACCGTAAGGCGGACCTAGTTTAAGGTGAAGTTGCTGCCTCTAAACAAGAACAGCTGTATGTACATATTAAAGGCCCACAGTGTTATCACAGTCCCTTACTAGGGATGCATTACGTCTTTGGATGTCACATAGTATTATCCAAGTCCCTTACTAGGGATGTGTTACTTCTTTGGATGTCACTAACTAAAAAACATCATTTACATCAGTCGAAGAGAGTATTTGAAAAGGGTGAGAGAAATGAGAAACTGTTAGCCTGGTTTGACGCAGAACACATGGCATACCCCAAATCCTGAGTCCCATGGGTGACATGTTTATTAACCCTGTGGAGATCAATGATTGCTTTGTTTCATACTAAGAAACCCTCTATAGCTCTTGGGTGGCCTATATGGATGGTGAACTCCAGACGTAACTGGCTGGGGGAGATTTCCAGGTTCTTACCTCCATCTATTGAGGCAAGCTAAATTCCCCCATTACTTTGGAGGAGGTGCAAAAGGCATTGGGCCCTCTTCAGTCGGGTAAGACTCCTGGCACTGATAGGCTCCTTGCACAACTTTATAAGAACTATACTGAGGAACAACTTCCTTGTCTCCACTCGTTGATTGTGACGTCGCTGGGGGTTGCTCCTCTTCCAGATTCTATGAGCGATGCAGTGATCGTGGTGATCCCGAAACTGGGGAAAAAACGTGATCATTGTTCCTCCTATTGCCCCATCTCTCTGTTAAATGCAGATGCGAAGCTCCCATCTAAAATTTTGTCTAACTACTTCAATACAGTGATTATGTCCTTATGCCTGGCAGGGGCACTGATATTAATATTAGACATTTCTATACTCATATGGCCCTGGGATAGGGGCATCCTTGGACGCTGAAAAAGTGTTCGATTCGGTTGAGTGGAACTATGTCTGAGTGGTTCTGGCCAGCTTTGGGTTTGGTCATCCCTTTCTCTGCTGGTTGAAACTACTAAACGCTCACCCATGGGCTAGGGTTAGGACCACTACAACCCTTTTGTAATCTCTCCCCTTGGGCAGAGGGACACGTGAAGGTTGCCCTGTCTCCCCAGGCTTATTTGCTTTAGCTTAGAAGTCCCTCGCTATCCTCCTCAGAACTGATCCCGCAGTGAGAGGTATTCACGTGGGCTCCATGGAGGAGAACTTTTTTTATATGCCGACGACTCCCTGCTGTACCTGGTGGACACGTCCTCCTCTATGCTCGGCACTAGACTTATTGATTGCTTTGCCCGTTTTTCAGGGATCAGAATTAATTGGGATAAGTCAGTGCTTTTTCCATTACATCCATCTGTTCCTCGTACTGACATGCAAACATCACTTTAATGGGTGGACAAATGTACCTTTTTGGGGTTTGGGTGGGAGGGACCACTGCTGCTTATTTAGAGAAGAACGTCTCTCCTTTGGTACCCTGAGACAGACATACTCCCTGCCAGGCTCTATATATTGACATATGAAACATGCACTTGCTGCTCAATTTCCAGAGCCTGTGGTATTGAAGTCTGACCAAACTGAACGTATTCTTGCCTCAAAGGTGATGGGGAAACCCTGGTCTTCCCTGTACCTTCATCTCTCTGTAGCTTATGACACTAAATCCACTTGCACTCTTGACCGCTGGCATGCAGATATCCCTGAGCTTACGTAGGAAGACTGGGAGGACTGTATCTCAACCTATGTGACTTCTATGATTTCTGCTAAAGATAGGTTTATACAGCTGAAATTTATACACAGGGCATACTATACCCCTCAGTACTTGGCCAATATTTACTCTCAGGCAGACCCCCTTGTGCACGAGATGTGCTGCTTCTACTGGTACTTTTATCCACATGGTGTGTTCCTGGTCTGTTTTTTGCCCCTTTTGGAAGTCGGTGGTTGATACTCTTAATGATATGTGGGATCTGGCCTTACGACCCGATCCACTTCTTCTATTGATGAGTTGCTGAGGATGTGGAGGCAGACATACACCAAGCTCTTCCTTACCTATTGAACATGCTATGCAAGAAGGGAAATTTTACTACATTGGAAGTCTCTTACACCTCCAACTGTGTTCACTTGGTGGAAGGTGATTAACTCAGTTCTGCCCCTTTACAAAATAACATATGAGAGTAGGAATTGTCCTAGGAAAGTTGATAAGGTATGGTCTATTTGGATACATGCTTATGGTGATTTCTCGCTTCTGTCCCTCCCCCCTTAACTCCCTCCTTTTTCAGTCTCCCCTCCTCTTCCCCCCCCCTACTGTCCCCCTCTTTGTTGTCTACCCCACTGTTACTTCCTTCCCCTTCTTGACCCTTCCCTCCCTCTCATCCTTTTATATTGACATGGCCCTGAAACAATTTAGAGTGGTAATCCTTCTTACTTCTGCCTATTAATACATATGGAGAATGCTATTGTCCTGACATGTGAATTATTTAATATGCCGCAATATCATCTTTTGCGCCCAGGATATACAGGCTATTATATTGTATGATCTGCTAATATACTTATTGACTTGTAACTACTGTACTGTGAGCTGTATTTCTAGCTGAGCAAGACTTTAAAAAACTGTTTTCTGTTAAGAAAAAAATCAACCCAGCTCCTCACCAGTGTTTCATCGCCAGTCATCCAGATTTCCCCTCATCTGTTGATACACTGAAGCCCCTGGCAAAATCCTGTATCATTGTGCCAAATATCAGGTTTAGTTATTTTGTTAATTTAAATTAACTTTCAATGTACCTTATACCATATATGTTTTTACAGGAGAAAAGGTTAAAACCACAATCTGATAATAAGGGTGGAAGGTTTATTTTTATATTAATCGGTGACTGATATCCACCCACATAATATCATTCAAGACTTTATAGAACAGCAGCAGCAATATTCGGTACAGCAATGCTCGGAATTGCCACCCTAATAACAGATATGATATGTTGTGAGGGAATTCTTGCTCCCAGAATCCAACCTAGTTATATACAGTACATTAAATCCTGTCAATTTTTTTTTTTTTTTTAGCCTTTGCTGTCTGTCTCTTTGGGAAAATTTTACTTGACTTACTGTCTTGGAGGAACATCAGTTTATGAAGAAGTCTCCTCAAGTCAGTTGTCACTGGAGCAGATGTTCCCATTGAATATTTTCCTGTTTAATCCAGTTTTGGTGACAACTAATATTCTGGATGACCCAGCACTTTTTGTCCTTGACACAATGGTCACCAGGATAAATATAGGCTGGTATCTCCCCAGCGGAAACACAGACACCAAAACATCCATCTAAGCAAAATACAGTATAACCATAAACACCCCACAGTCGTTTAAACACAAACAACAACATTTCACACACATATACACAAACAATTCAATGTATAAGTTACCTCTTCAGCTGCCTTTGGTGGAGGTTCTGTAGGCTTTTCCCCTTTACCCTACAAGACAGGTTCAATATTGCTTGTCATTAAAGCAATTTACAAGTTATTATTATTATACAGGATTTATATAGCGCCAACAGTTTGCTCAGCGCTTTACAGTATAAGTTAGGATCATTTATTATTTTATTGAATAACAATCTTACATCCAGGAGATGTCTGTATTCTGGTGGGATTGTGGATTCTCTCTTTCCCAATTCCTCTAGATATTCTGATGTGGCAGGGATGTCCTTATATAAAAAGAAAATGAAAATCTAGTGAACTGACATGCTTGACAGTATGATGGTGACATCTTTCTGATTTAAAAAAATCTGCTATGAACACGTAAAGACAGTGCCCAAGAAGTCAGTGATCCTTATGCTTCTACATTTATAGAATATCTACATCACACAAACATGACTCACATTTTCCATTTCAAAATTCTCAAATGACAATAAAAATAATCGAATGAACTTTGCCAACAAAGCTAACATGCAATTAGGATTTAACAAGGTATCCCATATTAATTGCCTTGGTAAATGCCCCTTGCTACTATATAAGCAGGTATGTGCATGCAAGAATGCCTGTAAAAGCTATAAATGGACCTCAAGCACATTATCATCTTCTAGTTTGTATACACTTTGGACTCAATGAAAAAGCAGAAAGAATTTACAGTTTTCAGTTCCAAAATAATAATGAGAGGTGCACTTTGATTACTATAGGTTACTTTACTTTGTTATTACTTTAGCAAGGTAGAGATGGAAAGAGAAAGAAGGTATCCTTAATTATATGATTAAGTTGGATTTCTGTTTTGCCAACGGGGGACAAGATTATAGCAGTGCTTTCTGATGCCGTTTTGGCATTGGATGGTTCTGCTTCCAGTAGGCATTCCTTCTTGTGTATCCAGCCCTCAGCAGCTCTTCACTCCCCACCATACTGCACCAGTACCCATAAAATATTGTATTAACTTTCCACCCTCACCCCAGATTAGTCACCTTTATACTCTTAACGCTACACATCTCTCCCTCCTCTCCAGTACTGTGTGTCGCAAGTACTCCACACCCCTGCCCTGCCCTGACACCTCCAAACTACAACTCTCCAGTGACACATTTACCCTTCTTCTTCAGCCCTGTCAGGCAAGTGTTCTTCTCTGTCCCGACACCTTCATATTTTACTGCAACATGCCCCCCCACCACCACCACTCCAGCACTGTGCCACAAGTCTAAAATTCACTGGGCAGCTTCCTATCTCTTGTAGAAGTTATTGCCACTATGTCAGCAGAGCTCCATCCCGCAGACCACCCATATTGGCAAGCTCCACTACCACAGAATGAGCTCCCTGCCCTCTGTAAAACTGGCTACTGCAGCTCCAGGGCATGGTGCTGCCTGCACATTACAGCTTTGCACAGTCCAAAAACCGCTATGAAAGTGGCTTCTATAGTTGACGGAAGGCTGTCAAAGAAACATCACAGCCCAGAAAACTGAACTGAACAGATGCTCTGCGATTGTTATGTGCAGGGCTGAGCTTTTACATTTACAGCCATCCTGCAGTGAAACTCAAGGAGGATGCTGAACAGGAGACCAGTGAATGTCATAATCTCCTCTGAAACCAGACAATTTTCAAGTACTCAGTGTAGAGCATTTGAATGTTCTCACCTTCAGGTCTGCCTGCCACTGTCATACCCTTTGCACTCCTTCATACACTCTGCCCCATGTTAAACCCTCTACACTCCTATCTTGCACATGCCAGTTCTGTCTTGCACATACTGCATGCTCTCAAACTGTTCGCACACCTCTCCTGCACATATTGCTCGCTATATAATGTTCCCAAACATATCCTCCACAAGCTTCTCCTGTAAATACTGCCTGCTATTATACCTATTGCACTCCTCTCCTGTACATATACCGCTCACTGTCACATACATATTGCCGACTGAAAATGTTTTTGGGATTTATATATATATATATATATATATATATACACACACACACACACACACACACACACACACACACACACATATGATATGTATATATATTATTACATCGAGTTTATATAGCGCCAAAGGGTTTGCTCAGCGCTGTACAATAGGAATATATATGTATATATACACACACACACACACACATATACATACACACACTGTAACTTAAATTTTATCAACTAAACTGTTTATAATAAATTTTAAAATGTCATGCCATGTTTTAGTTTACACATCCAAAAATCTACTTACAGTGACCTCCGGTCCAGTGAATTGTGGAGACTCTGGAACACTTTCTGGTCCCCCCAAAGTATCAATTAACAAATCTAAAGCATCATCCTTTTCACTCTACAAATCAGAGGCACAAGATAATTAGCTACACAGCCAAAGCATAAAGACAACAGGAGTAATAAACTAAATACCCCATAACTAAAAATGTACAAAATGTAAAAAGAGGGCTAATATACACCCTTTTTCTTGAAGTTTAGCTAAATAACTATCATTGTTTTACTTCCTTGAGGATCACTTTCTGATATTCAAATTACAGGTATTCTTTTGTCACAGATTTTCCTGGCATTTTTACAGGCAATACATTTCTCCAACGAAAGTCTGCTTAGATGTATAGTGGTAATTTAAGAGGTTAATATTTGAAAATGAAATTATAAGTACATCTTTACGAAAAGAATAATAAATGCTGATTTTTTTTCCAGGTAAAAAAATATGCATTTATTATTATTTGTTTGATAATAGCCTATAAAGCATTGCACCCATGATCAGCAGATCATGGGTATAACTTCACAGTCCTGCAGAGTGTCTGTGTAACTATCTGCTCATACTTCTGACATGGGCAGGCAGTTACACAATGACAGGAAGCCCAATGAACTACCTAGAGTGCTCAACAGTGAAAAGGCTGCCAGAACTTGTAGTTTTCCAATTCACAGAATACTGTGAATGAATGATGTGGCCGAGTGTTCGGAGCCTCGCACAGGCACGTTTTTTCCGATTGTGACAGCCAGCTGGGGGATTGGAGGTTGGTGCATCTGTAACATATTATATGTTAAAGCCTGAATATGGGTGTAACATTACAAAAGGTAAACTTATCCTTTAAGTGATGGTTTTGCAATTTATTTTACCCTGCTATATTACCACCAATTCCAGCTGCTGTGTAAAGTATGCAATGTAGCAGACTGCCCCTAAATCCCAAGATCTAGCCCCACCTTGCTTGGAGCAGCACCAGCAGCAATTTTGTCCACACTCACTTTCTTTAATTCTTTAACCTGTGGTAAATAAGGAGGAGTAGTCAGAAAAATAACACGGAAAAATAAAAGGGGATCAGCACACAAGATACAGAGATATTGAGGCACGGTTTCAGCTTTAAATAATTCCATTACTCGATGTCAATAATACATTTGCTTATAAATGTCAAATAAATTATCATTACTATATATCGAATTGTTATGAGACACATTTTTTTGCTTTTTCCTTCCATCACAGATTTCTGTCGATGGAATATTTTATTGAAAAACATGCAAATAAGTGAGCGCCTTCCAAATAGTAGCAGCTGTACACCAAAGGCACCATATAAAACCTTCCAATACACAATAATATACAAAAAAAGGTGCAGCGCTAGAGCACAAATAAATGAACATATATACACATGTATAAAGTCGTGCAAAAGATATAAAGTGATGCTGTGCACTCATATATATGCCACTATGCAGTGGCTAATATAACGTGAGGGAAAAAACTGCTGTGTCCACATATAAGTCCAACGTGAAGATGTGAGCAAGATCTCAATCGATCTATAGACTTCCAAACGACATAAACTGTGCACACGGTGAAACAGTGAGGATACAAATTACGCACTCACCAGATGCGCAACCTTTATGCGCCTTTATATATTATAGAGACTTCCAATATGTCATCAGAGGTCTGGTCAGATCTGGTCAGGTCCCCTTCGTTATCCCATACTCTGCATACAGCCTTCTCATTAGGCGATGGCCACTCTGTAGATGCACCTGGCTCCCAGAGGAGCTGACTTCTGCATGAGTAGTCACTCTTCTTCTTTAAAGCATCACAGCAAATCTCCTTGCTGCTCTTGATTTCTCACATGTGTGTTTTGTCTGTGCTCATCTGTGAGATTTGCTGTGATGCTTTAAAGAAGAAGAGTGACTACTCATGCAGAAGTCAGCTCCTCTGGGAGCCAGGTGCATCTACAGAGTGGCCATCGCCTAATGAGAAGGCTGTATGCAGAGTATGGGATAACGAAGGGGACCTGACCAGATCTGACCAGACCTCTGATGACATATTGGAAGTCTCTATAATATATAAAGGCGCATAAAGGTTGCGCATCTGGTGAGTGCGTAATCTGTATCCTCACTGTTTCACCGTGTGCACAGTTTATGTCGTTTGGAAGTCTATAGATCGATTGAGATCTTGCTCACATCTTCACGTTGGACTTATATGTGGACACAGCAGTTTTTTCCCTCACGTTATATTAGCCACTGCATAGTGGCATATATATGAGTGCACAGCATCACTTTATATCTTTTGCACGACTTTATACATGTATATATATATGTTCATTTATTTGTGCTCTAGCGCTGCACCTTTTTTTGTATATTATTGTGTAGATGGAATATTTTAGTTGCTCACATATATGACAAGGGATGCTCTCTGGATCACAACCACCATCATACACAACATGGAAGTAGATCATCCAAGGGACAATTGTTGGATGAACATAATTTCAACTTTTTAGAACTGAAAAGAATTGCATCACAATGATACCTAACAAGTGGCTGTGAAATAAACATCATATTAAAGGATTTCATTCCTAGCTTCTGTTCATACTTCCACTGCTGCAAATCACTAGCTCACATTACATATATATATATATATATTATATATATACACAGTGGGGATCGAAAGTTTGGGCACCCCAGCTAAACATTTGTATTAATGTGCATAAAGAAGCCAAGGAAAGATGGAAAAATCTCCAAAAGGCATCAAGTTACAGATTAGACATTCTTATAATATGTCAACAAAAGTTAGATTTTATTTCCATCATTTATACTTTCAAAATAACAGAAAACAAAAAAATGGCGTCTGCAAAAGTTTGGGCACCCTGCAGAATTTATAGCATGCACTGCCCCCTTTGCCAAGCTGAGACCTGCCAGTGTCATGGATTGTTCTCAATCATCGTCTGGGAAGACCAGGTGATGTCAATCTCAAAGGTTTTAAATGCCCAGACTCATCTGACCTTGCCCCAACAATCAGCACCATGGGTTCCTCTAAGCAGTTGTCTAGATATATATATGCAATACAAGTGAAATGAAGTTGGTTTTAGGCCCTACATCCAGTCCATTCTGTTTAATGTAAAACACTGTTGACAGTGCTATTATTTATTGATTCACATATATAGTAAATACTTACTTCTAGATAGAGTAGGAAAGGAAAAGAACCCTTGTCAAGTTTTTATTCTTGTTAGTGTTCCTGCTAGGCAGATTCACCCTATTTCCCATATATCAACAAAATAGAAAATGAGGGAGATCCAAAATTTTACAGCTGTCACCAGAACAAGAGCCAAGGGTCAATCTTCAAATAGAAACATCTGGTGGCAAACGTCCAAGAAAGGTGGAATGCACTTTCCTAGATGACTGTGCCACTGCAGGAAACATTCCTGGAATACGTTTTCTCTGGAATACTGTGCAGTGTTGTGGTGTGCTGGATGTCCAGAATATTATTATATCTGTGTCCTTTTAGGGAATTTTTTTAATTTTGGAAACAGCCAACAGTCACAGGGTACTATGTCAGGGGAATAAGGTGGTTGGTTAAGTTTCAGAATGGATTTCTGGTCCAGGAACTCGTGAACACTTAATGCATCATGTGCAGGAGCATTGTCATGGTGGAGAATCCACTTGTCAAACCAGAGTTCAGTTTTTTCCACCAAACAGATTCCTGTAAACGTTTCAGAATTTTCCAGTAACTATGTTGGTTGACCGCTGTACCATGTTCTATAAACTCATAGTGAACTCCATGGTTTTGAACTGAGAACGAGACATGCGTGCTTTCTTCAGGAGAGGTGAATTTTTTTTTCCACTGCATGCTGTGGCATTTTTTTTCTGCAGCATACCAGACACACCATGCTTCATCACAACTTTCATCACCCTATCAAACACCTCTGTATTCTTTAAAAGATTGGATGAAATTTGAAGACGACATGCTTTCTGATCTACTGTCAAGATTCGAGGCACCATCTTTGTGGAAGTTTTTCTAATTCCCAAACCTTCCAGTTGAATATGCTTCCCTGTTCATGCTTAATTCTTCTGTCATCAGTCGAACACTCAATCTTCAATTTGAGCGTACAAGGGTTCACACTCTGTCCACATTTGCATCTCTTGTTTGCATTGTTTGTTGCCCACTTCTTGCATCACCATGGCCATCTTCCTGTCCTTCCTTAAACTACCTATACTTGATTTCTTCATGGAATGTTCACCATAAGCAGCATAAGTTGTAACAGAGCTAACAGCTTCACTCACACTTTTGCCAATTTTCACGCAAGGTTTTATGTTAGTTTTGCTGCTCCAGATCCTGTCACTCATTTTCCACCAGCAGCGCAAGGCACACGTGTTATTTCTGCTATTAGTGTGTAAAGACTGAATCAACTGATCTGTTGCCCAGGCGACTGCACGTTAGAACATGTCAGAACATGTCTGTGTGACTCACCACCATTGTGCTACGCCACAAGCATTCCAGGAATTAAATTGTCACACCTCATATATCTGTATCACCTAAAGGTGAAGACCCCTTTCTATTCCTTTAAACAGCATTACATGGTTACTCTTCTAGACTTACCATTTCAGTTTTGGGTAAATACTGGTGGATAAAATAAATTAAAAATCCAAAAGGGAGAGCGAGACCTCCTCTTTCTGCCCATTAGAAAAGGACCTGGAAACACAGATGCCACTGGATTCTGAGATATACTGAAATCAATGTATGAACTGATGCATCCTCTCTATAAATATACATAGAGCCAGTACAAAGATCGACACACATGGGAGGTGTAGTGACCATAGATCATTCTGCAGAGGTGACTGATATAGTATCTACGCCAAATTTAGCAAATGCACAAACCTAGACCTTGTTGGCACCACCTATTAGAAGGGCAACTACACCAAAAGGCTTGAGGTCCTTTTATTCTAACTGTTCACACCAATAATTGCCTTACAGAACCAGAAATTATTGTGGGAACCTTTTCCTTCGGTTACAATCCAGCTAAGCACATAGGAATTAAACTAGACCACATATCTGTGGAATTAATGAAGAAAAATTAAGTATTTATCCATGATATATTTAACTTCCAATATCGTATTTTTGTACGGAGCAATTTCTGTACATTACCTCTTCTTTAGGTTTGCTAGATGAAGCTACTGTAGCAGCACCTACTGCAGCGGCCCCCACTGTAGCAACAGCTGCTTTGCCAGCAACAGATGATGAGACCTGAAGAAAGGCAAGGGACAACTGTCAATAGATTACCCTGTCAATACAAAATATGGAAATTGACTACTAAAGAAAGACTGTTTTGATGCATAATCCTTTGTTTGATGGTGATGGAAGAAGCTTCAGTTTGGTGTACTGCAGTAATACCTAATTGGTATGTACGATAGTTGTGTATTGTTTTTATTACACTATCAATGTAGCTGGTTAATATAATAGGAAAAGTTCTACTTTATACCAACACTAGTTTTCTGGCCTCCTCACCAAAAATGTAGTTAAAACTACAGTGGGGCAAAAAAGTATTTAGTCAGCCACCAATTGTGCAAGTTCTCCCACTTAAAAAGATGAGAGAGGCCTGTAATTGGCATCATAGGTAGACCTCAACTATGAGAGACAAAATGAGAAAAAAAATCCAGACAATCACATTGGCCGATTTGGAAAGAATTTATGTGCAAATTATGAAGGGAAATAAGTGTTTTGGTCAATATCAAAAGTTCATCTCAATACTTTGTTATATATCCTTTGTTGGCAATGACAGATCAAATGTTTCCTGTAAGTCTTCACAAGGTTGACACACACTGTTGCTGGTATCTTGGCCCATTCCTCCATGCAGATCTCCTCTAGGGCAGTGATGTTTTGGGGCTGTCGCTGGGCAATACAGACTTTCAACCCCCTCCCAAAGGTTTTCTATGGGGTTGCCCGGGCGGTATGATTGGGATCATTGTTATGTTGGAAGACCCAGCCACGTTTCATCTTCAATGCCCTTGCTGATGGAAGGAGGTTTGCACTCAAAATCTCATGATACATGGCCCCATTCATTCTGTCCTGTACATGGATCAGTCGTCCTGGTCCCTTTGCGGAGAAACAGCCCCAAAGCATGATGTTGCCACCCCCATACTTCACAGTAGGTATGGTGTTCTTTGGATGCAACTCAGCATTCTCTCTCCTCCAAACACGACGTGTTGTGTTTTCTACCAAACAGTTCTATTTTGGTTTCATCTGACCATATGACATTCTCCCAATCCTCTTCTGGATCATCCAAATGCTCTCTAGCAAACTTCAGACGGGCCCGGACATGTACTGGCTTAAGCAGGGGGACACGTCTGGCACTGCAGGATCTAAGTCCCTGGCGGCGTAGTGTGTTACTGATGGTAGCCTTTGTTACGTTGGTCCCAGCTCTCTGCAGGTCATTCACTAGGTCCCCCTGTGTGGTCCTGGGATTTTTGCTCACCGTTCTTGTGATCATTTTGACCCCACGGGGTGAGATCTTGCGTGGAGCCCCAGATCGAGGGAGATTATCAGTGGTCTTGTATGTCTTCCATTTTCTAATTATTGCTCCCACAGTTGATTTGTTCACACCAAGCTGCTTGCCTATTGCAGATTCAGTCTTCCCAGCCTGGTGCAGGTCTACAATTTTGTTTCTGGTGTCCTTCGACAGCTCTTTGGTCTTCACCATAGTGGAGTTTGGAGTGTGACTGTTTGAGGTTGTGGACAGGTGTCTTTTATACTGATAACAAGTTCAAACAGGTGCCATTGATACAGGTAATGAGTGCAGGACAGAGGAGCCTCTTAAAGAAGAAGGTACAGGTCTGTGAGAGCCAGAAATCTTGCTTGCTTGTAGGTGACCAAATACTTATTTTACACCATAATTTGCAAATAAATTCTTTCGAAATCAGCCAATGTGATTGTCTGGATTTTTTTTTCTCATTTTGTCTCTCATAGTTGAGGTCTACCTATGATGCCAATTACAGGCCTCTCTCATCTTTTTAAGTGGGAGAACTTGCACAATTGGTGGCTGACTAAATACTTTTTTGCCCCACTGTACATACCCCTAAATTGGACAAACATTAAATGGCCAACACAAGCACTGGATAGTTGTTATTCCCGCTGACTCTCCCAATGGACTTTGGAATCCTGTGCATAGTTTGAAACTAGTCTTTAGAGAAATTACTACCTCTGATTTCACTTAGGTACATGCACCAAGCATAGCCATTCCTTTTTAAGGCCATAATAGGTCAATGCACAGCATTTCAAAGGCTGTTGGAAGAGAAAGAAAAAAGCACTGCACCAGTCCTAGGTAGGCTGGCGGTGTAATATTTGCTTTGCATACAGTATATTACATGGGGCTCCATTTACAAATTGGACACAGACGTTTCTGGGGATAGCAGATCTTAGGTGTTGGTATGCAGGTGCACTTATCCTTCAAGGTTTAATTCAAAGCTCATACAGTATATAATTGATGTAAATAAATACATGAAAAGGATGCTCAGAAAAAAAGAACATTGAAATGCAGGTGCCATCAGCTTTAGGCACTTTCTCTATAGAGAAGTGGGAAGCCAGAACAAAGATAAATTCACCCAGCGGGCAACATGAACAGAGATCATTCCACAGAAAAGACTGATATAGCAGCTATGCCAAAATATGGTGAGTGTATAAATTAAGTTTCTTGTTGGCACTGCCTATCAGAAGGGTGTGTGTCACAGAGAAATTCTAGAATTGAAAGCAGCTAAACCGAAAGCCTTGAGGTCACTTTATTCTAACTGTTCTCACTTGACAGTAATTGGCTTACTAGAGCAGAAAGCGAAAATTAATGAGGGAACATTTTCCTTTGATTAAAATCCAACTAAGAACAAAGGAATGATAATTATTTCACCAAAATGCTATTATTTTGAAGGTTATGTTAAATTGTAGATTGTTAGTAGATGCTGGCACCCCAGCATTTCTGTATGGTATTAATGAAGAGTTGTAATGATTTACAATGTATTAATCCATGATAGAGTTCATTTCCAATATCTTATTTTTTCACAAGACAATTTCTATATATTACCTCTTCTTTAGGTTTGCTAGATGAAGCTACTGTACTAGTACCTACTCCAGCGGCCCCCACTGTAGCAGGAGCTGCTTTGCCAGCAACAGGTGATGAGACCTGAGGAAAAGCAAGGGACAACTGTCAATTGGTAATACAAAACACAGAGAAATTGACTACTATAGAAAGACTAATTTAATGTGATATATATATTTCTATACCTCTTATTTAGACAAATTGAATTGGACAATGCAAGGATAGTAGTGTTCTCCCCTCCATCCCATCGGCCTTTGGAATCCTCTGCATCATTTGGTTCTAGCCACAGAGAAATTGTCACCTCTGTATTAACTTATGTGCATGCATTAAACAAAGCCACTCCTTTCTAAGCCCATAGCGGGTCAATGCACAGCATTTCAAAGGCTATTGGGAAAAGGAAGGAGAGAAACACTGTAACACTCCTGGGTAGGCTGGTGGTGTAAAATTTAGTCTACGTATATTACGCAGGCCTACATTTACAAAATGGAAGTAGAGATTTCTGGGGATGGGAGATCTCTGGTGTTGCTATGAAGGTGTATTTCCCTTCAATGTTTAATTCAAAGCTCATATACAGCATAACTGATGCACATAAATACATGAATAGAATAATGGAAAAACATCTTTATTTTAAGCAGGAACCAAACACATAGGAATATCAGCATTAACTAAAAGGATTGTAAGATCTGCTTTACAACAGTGCTCTACTGTATATATTAGTACTTTATTTTATGCTGCTGCTGTTCCATGTACATTGACCTGTTTTGAGTTGGTTGGAAAAAAAAAATGAAGTTCTGACTTACTGCACTATCTTTCGGCTTCCCAGCATCTGCTTTCTTTGCATCCTGCTTTGTTGGGCCCTTTCCAGACTCGGCTTTGCTGTTGTTGAAGAAGATGTTAATGATGAGGTGGTTGTTGTTGTTGTTGTTGTGGTGGTGGTGGTCTTTGGCTGATAAGAAACACATCATTACTATAAGCGTATGTAGTGACAGATGAATTCACAAAAGTAAAAATGAAGGTAGAGAAGGACATAAAGGAAAGATTACAGAAAACAATATCAGCTATCCTGTAAAATTGATCTGGCTAAAAGGGATGTTGATAAAATAGATGTTGAAATGTGTAGCCTGTAAGTGGTCTGAAGATTTCCTTAAAGAAGATCTGAACTGTGGAAGCTGTGTCCAAAACAAAGGCAGGCAGAGGGCAAAAGATTGGTCACCAGTGTTGCCTGTAGACTCTTGCAGTTGATCTTTTGCCTACTATTGATTTACTATGCCTTAACTTGCATGTTGTCTCTGTGAGGAGGCAGTCATCAGAGCCTTCAGCAAGAAGAACAGTAAGCAGCACATTAGTGACATCTTCAAAATACTAGTATTCAGAGGCAGCAGTGTCTTTGATCTCACACTGCAGATATACATCTATGAAGCTGTAGACACAAGAATTACACTACTGAATTCCTGGTTCAGTTGGGGGGGGGGGGAAATGCTTGAGCACAATTCACATCTTTAAATGCTCCCCTGTACCATAGCAAATCTTTACTTGTTGAGTTCAGGTTCACTATAAAAGCAGCACTATATGCACTTGTATGACAGGCTAACAAGTATTAGATCAGTTACTATGCAATGTACAAATCTTCCTTTACTGTCCCTGATTGAATCTAATCATTCATCATTTGTGTCTCACATGGTCCCTCTCAAAGACACTGCTGAACACGGAGGTATTCAGCAGTACAGTCAGTGCAACAAATTCAGAAAACAGTGGGCAAGACTAGGTGTGTCCAGGTGCTGAGAAGTAGACAAGGCAGTTAACCAAACTACCTTCCCAAGTCCACTGTAGTTCAAGTAGGAGCAGTTTGCATGTAGCATGCAGCCTGGCTGCTACAGCATCACAGGAAATGGCATTAAGTGGATTTCACTGGCAGGGTCAACAGGTGTTTGTGGGATTGAGCCCTGCATCACACTAATGCCGTGTGGCATACCGCATGTGATTCGCACAGGAACCACACCACATTCTTGTGCAAATCACATGCAGTATCTGTGCAGTGTGATGTGAGCCATACATTTTGTATGGCTCAAATCGCATCCGCACCAAAAAGGCGCAAGACCCTTTTTATTCCCTCACCTGATTCACACTGCATGGATGTTTACACCCATGCAATGTGAATTCTGGTAATTGCAGTGCGTTTTGCAATCTGTTTTCGGGGTGTTGTTTAACATTGACATTGTACCAGATCGCATAGACACTGTATGATTGCAATGCAGGTGCAGGAAACGCACAGGATTCTCCTTGTTTCCCACTATGCATTAGTGTGAACCTGGGCTTAAGGGTGACCAAGGGAAACAGTACATTCAAAAAATTAAGTGCTGCAGCATATATTTTTGCCTTTAGTACTATGGGTAACAATCTAGGTTTCTAGAAACCCTGATGCAGGGGAGACTTGTTCCAAGATATTTGGAGGTTAGCTTAAGCGAACATCAAGGACACATTCATCTATTTATCCCAAGGGCAAAGCTTTAATATATTGTTTGCTGGTTAGGAACACCTTCACAACCCTGTTTGTTTACATATGCATAATAAACACAGACTACTATAAGGGCACCTGATAGTTTCTACACACTGATAACTGCCAACTCATGTAGGTCACACCTAGTTAAGTACACGAATTGCTGTCTGATTGGATACTCTCTGTAAAACATACTTTAACCCCTTCATGCCTAAGGGTAAAAGAAATCTTAATGTCCAAGCACAATTTTGCAACCTTGACATGTGTTAGTAAAACCGTACATATCACAACTACTTTGTACATCCAGGTGAATTATTCCTTGTTTTTCTCAGGAAAAATTGGGCTTCCATTTGGTGGTAAATGGTAATGGATATCTCCTGATTTTTTTTTTTTTATAATCAAAGGAAAACTGGCCCAAAATAGTAAAAAATATATATTTTTTTTTAAATTAAGCTGTGTGTTTCTTGTTACCACCATCATAACCTACCACCAAAGAACAACCCAAAATAAATTTTCCAGCTCTTGACGATCGCAGTGATACCATATACGTGTATGTTATTTGTTGTTTGTACCCATAGTACAGCCCAGAAACAATAGTGTGCATTTTATTTACCTAAAACAAACACACTGATACCAATTTAAAAAAATAAATAAATCCTGACCTTTTGACCTTGACCCAAACACTTACCATGCCATTGAGCTAGATCAAACCTTGATCTAGATATTTGTTCTTTATTTTTTGTTTTATTTTTTAATATTTATTTAACAAACATTTTTTTCCTCTATGCCATGAGTTAGAGACGCAATGTATCTCTGTCCTCCATTCACAGAGCAAAAAAAAACAAAAAAAAAAAAAAAAACCAAAACACACAAGGGGAGGGGGGGGGGGGCTAAACAGTGACTGATCACTGTGATAGCCAATCAGAGGCTATCACAGCGATCATGTGACCCGGAATTGAGAGTCCTGGCTCCCGACGTTAGAACAAGACCCGGGGCTCTCAGTGACACCCCGGTCAGGAAGACAGGTACGCAAATATGCAGCCCCACGAAAAAAAAGTCCAGTTCTGTGAGGCCGCATATTTCTTTGAAGTCGGCGTCAAGGGGTTAAACACAGCACACATTACAATGGGACTGTACTCCTTCTAATTTACCAATAGCTATGTAGTGCAAGGGCCTATTTAGATACAAATTAAAATGAATGTCAATCAATACTATTTTTAATCCTTATGCTGCCAGCATTAATAAATGGACAGGAAAGTATCATAGTTACTTATTTTAAACTTTCTCTTTACATTTCTTCAGTTACTTCCTGGTTTCCATGCCTAGGCAAATGATGTCATATGTCCCAGATCATCATTGCATCACCTGACCTTACTCAAGATGGCCACTGCCAGAAGTGCTATGGGGTGTTTTTCAGAATGAATTCTCAGCAAAATAAAGCATGGAGACATCAATGGAAGGGAGAGTTTGCTTTGAATATTAACATTGAATGAAATGGCTTTTTTGGTTTGTGGTGCTCAGGTGCAGCGTAGTTCCACTTTAAGTAGATAGTTTAACAACCTACCTACTAGGCCAATTCTGACGTTTCTGTCATACAAGTAAAATTCTGCATTTTTTTTCCAGAAAATTGCTTAGAACCCCCAAATATATATTTTTTAAGCAGAGGCCCTAGAGAATAAACTGGTGGGTATTGCAATTTTTTTTTGTCATATGGTATTTGTGCAGCAGTCTTTCAAAACACAATTTTTAAAAAAATACACTTTAAAAAATTTTATTTAAAACAAACACAATATAATGTCATAATTTATAGTGGGGCAAAAAAGTATTTAGTCAGCCACCAATTGTGCAAGTTCTCCCACTTAAAAAGATGAGAGAGGCCTGTAATTGGCATCATAGGTAGACCTCAACTATGAGAGACAAAATGAGAAAAAAAATCCAGACAATCACATTGGCTGATTTGGAAAGAATTTATTTGCAAATTATGGTGGAAAATAAGTATTTTGGTCAATATCAAAAGTTCATCTCAATACTTTGTTATATATCCTTTGTTGGCAATGACAGAGGTCAAACGTTTCCTGTAAGTCTTCACAAGGTTGGCACACACTGTTGCTGGTATGTTGGCCCATTCCTCCATGCAGATCTCCTCTAGAGCAGTGATGTTTTGGGGCTGTTGCTGGGCAACACGGACTTTCAACTCCCTCCAAAGGTTTTCTATGTGGTTGAGATCTAGAGACTGGCTAGGCCACTCCAGGACCTTGAAATGCTTCTTACGAAGCCACTCCTTCGTTGCCCGGGCGGTATGTTTGGGATCATTGTCATGTTGGAAAACCCACCCACATTTCATCTTCAATGCCCTTGCTGATGGAAGGAGGTTTGCACTCAAAATCTCATGATACATGGCCCCATTCATTCTGTCCTGTACATGAATCAGTCGTCCTGGTCCCTTTGCGGAGAAACAGCCCCAAAGCATGATGTTGCCACCCCCATGCTTCACAGTAGGTATGGTGTTCTTTGGATGCAACGCAGCATTCTCTCTCCTCCAAACACGACGTGTTGTGTTTCTACCAAACAGTTCTATTTTGGTTTCATCTGACCCTATGACATTCTCCCAATCCTCCTCTGGATCATCTAAATGCTCTCTAGCAAACTTCAGATGGGCCCGGACATGTACTGGCTTAAGCAGGGGGACACGTCTGGCACTGCAGGATCTGAGTCCCTGGCGGCGTAGTGTGTTACTGATGGTAGCCTTTGTTACGTTGGTCCCAGCTCTCTGCAGGTCATTCACTAGGTCCCCCCGTGTGGTCCTGGGATTTTTGCTCACCGTTCTTGTGATCATTTTGACCCCATGGGGTGAGATCTTGCATGGAGCCCCAGATCGAGGGAGATTATCAGTGGTATTGTATGTCTTCCATTTTCTAATTATTGCTCCCACAGTTAATTTTGTTCACACCAAGCTGCTTGCCTATTGCAGATTCAGTCTTCCCAGCCTGGTGCAGGTCTACAATTTTGTTTCTGGTGTCCTTCGACAGCTCTTTGGTCTTCACCATAGTGGAGTTTGGAGTGTGACTGTTTGAGGTTGTGGACAGGTGTCTTTTATACTGATAACAAGTTCAAACAGGTGCCATTGATACAGGTAATGAGTGCAGGACAGAGGAGCCTCTTAAAGAAGAAGGTACAGGTCTGTGAGAGCCAGAAATTTTGCTTGTTTGTAGATGACCAAATACTTATTTTCCACCATAATTTGCAAATAAATTCTTTCTAAATCAGCCATTGTGATTGTTTGGATTTTGTTTCTCATTTTGTCTCTCATAGTTGAGGTCTACCTATGATGTCAATTACAGGCCTCTCTCATCTTGTTAAGTGGGAGAACTTGCACAATTGGTGGCTGACTAAATACTTTTTTGCCCCACTGTATTGGTAAAATATAAAGGATCATGTTACGCCAAGTAAA